GACAGGATTGCACATTTATGCACAGAAAGCATGCCATATACTACATGGTTGTCTTTTATTTGTTCTACTGTAGTTTTTGGCTGTAGTACTTTCATATGTATTGCCAAGAAAGCTAAAAATGGTTAAAGGAAGTGGAAAAAAAAAAAAGAATTTATCACGTTCTGATGTCTAAAATAAAGAGTTGTCTATTCCTACCAGTGCATACATCCCCATCTAAGTTATCACTAAATTTCATGTATAGTAAGCATAAGCACTTTTAAAGCTTTATCAGTAGTGTGTTCTGTACATCAAAGTATGAAATAAACAGTAGAGTGTTACTTTGTTCTTATCTTATTTCTTTGCATAAGCCCATGTTTGCTCTCCATAGTTGATATATAACTACAGCCAAGTAACAAGTAAGATGCAAACGGACAAAATCTGCTCTAGTTCTATCTGGTTTATAAATACTCTGTTGGGTATTCCATTGTGAACTCTAAGGGAACGTTTTAAATTCTGCTTTTATTAAAACAATGACAATCTGATTCAACGATTCTAAATCAATTTGGCTTGCAAAGGTGTAAGAACAAAATCTGCCTTCAAGCTATCACATTCTATTATTATTACTGGTTAGATATCTTAACTCTGAAACTCAATAGCTACTCTGCTATGGGAAGTGAAAATCAACAATAATACTGTGAAAGTCAAAGGCTGAGTGATTCTATAACCAAAGTCATCTTCTCTGGTCAAGGAGAGGTAGGTGGAGTCATATCTTCCCCTACTCTGCCTGCTCCATGCAAGGTATTAAATAAGAAAGTCTCTCTGACATCACTGATTTGGCACATCATTTTAAAGGAATGTCCTTTCCTGTGCAATTGCCCTGACAGAGTTAGAATCTAGCAGGAAGTTTCTAGGAAAATGTTAAATCCTACCCGGGAGGTTATGTCTTCACCTCCACAACCTATGTCAAAAAGTTCTCTCTTCAAAATTGTTGCAGCCATTCACAATGCTGGAAAATGACACACCTTCTTCTTGGGTGGCTGTTTCCTGGTTCTAGTTCAATTTCCTAATTCCTAGCCATGACACCTCACAGGGCTGCAAGTGCACTCTAGATGTGCCAGTAAATTAAAAAAAAAAAGGTTCAAGAAAATATTCTGGTTTTTTGGTTAACAAATATGTCTGGACTTTCATTTCTGGTAATTTGAATAGCAAGATAACCAGATAAAAAAAATTGCAAGTATGGTTGTTCTATACATACACACAACAATCGCCCACTAGCAACACATCATAAATGATGGCATTTCTAACACTGCCTTTGGTTGCTTTCTGTCATAAGAAAATTCTCTGAATAAAGGAGTGTACTGCTGTTATTTCCCCAGCTAGTGTGCCATGCAATGCAGATACAGTCATAGAAAGCTCTAACTCCACCAAGGTTTGGCTTTTTACCAAACTCAGTAAGCGAAGTGAACGGCAAAATGCACAGGGCAGCAATGAGCTGTTCTGAGTAGGAGGGACCAGCTCTGTACCTTCTGCCTAAGGGATAATTTTATATTTCACACAATGGCTTATAATCATTCTTCCCTGAAATTAGAGGTAAGAGTGTAAAATCTTATTCTACACTTCCCCCTCCCATTCTCTCCATCCAATCTTTATTGATTAAAGGAACATTCATTGTTTTTTAAATTGTTTTTTTTTTTAAGTGTTGGCTTCTGGGGCTTTAAAAATCAATGCACTTGCTCCAAGTACTGGATGCAACATTGCTGCTGAATTTATCTGTGAAATGTACCATGATTATGTTTTCAATTTATGAAAGTTCTTTCTTTCCACTGCATAAATGAGTATGTTATCATTTGGCTGCCTTGAGAGGTGCCTGCAAAGTGGAAGAGCATAAGCAAGAGAGACATGCTCACAGAACATGAAACATCTATTAAATTGTACGTTTATCTGTGTAGTGAGCAAAATAATTTAGAAGTTTCAGGAAGTTGCAAAGAGCTTTCTAGCTCAGATGCCTGATAATGGGGCTTCATCTGATGGGCTGTGATACCTGTCTCTAAGCCCTGTGATGCTGTCTTCTAAGACAGGCAATGAGGAAATGATTTTCATTTCTTTATCCTTGCAAACGTGAGCTTGAGCTTAATCATCAGGTCAGATGTTGGTTTTTTGCTGAGAAGGATAATTTAGAGCCTCCAACCCAAGGCTTATAGAAGGGACTAATGATTTTGAGTACCCTCTCCAAACTATACAAAACTATATAAACAATAAGCACATGCCCACAGGACAAATTCAGGTACTCTTTAAGAGACTGCAAACTGAAGTTCCACCAAATAAAGCATCCAGAATTTGGAGTGTTTAGGAACTCTTGGTTTCTTTTATGGTACTGATAAATGTGGTAGGTTGTGGTGCATAGGAATGATACAACATAAAGCTGAATTGCATATTTCCTTTCTACAGAATGTACTGAAAGCTGAATGTTTATGTGGAATCAATTTTTATTTGGAAAAAAAATCACAGAAAGAAAAATGCAAGGGGGCACTTAAACCAAAAAATTCTGTTTCAGGAAGACTCTGAGCTGCAGACTACTGGAAGTTGGGAGAGTAGCCCAGTTTGGCCCATTCTTATTCTCTTCCCTGTGTAACTTTTGTTGGTTACCATTGGAGACAGGATACACTACACAGACTTTTGGGCTGATTTAGTGCAGTTGCTCATGTTAGCAGTACATGTAGACAAAGATCATCCCTAATACATTTTACTTACCCATGGTTTGACAGTGACAGTAACACAAGTCCGTAAAATAGGCATGAATATACAAAAAGCATTTATTTTATATTCTGCTCGAGTTTTATATGAACTTGGATCTTTCAGCCGTGTCTCAGTAATCACAAGAAATCAGAGAGCTGCTTTGTGGATGATAGAAGTGAGGAACTGAGTTGATGAATTGTCAGTGCCAAACATAATACAGGACAGAGTTGAATGAATGTTCAAAACCAGCTCAGTTAAAGAGTCCAGATCCAAAGTCAATGAAGGTAATGGTGAAGGAAAGCTGGACCCTATCCAGTGCTACTGTACTTTTCAAAATGATATAAATCTGAGAAAAAGAGAACTGAGAGAGGAAGCATCAGAAACCCATTTATATGGAAAGTACTCCCCTCCTTCAACCCACTCTCTCAATTTGCATATACATGTCTCTCAGCTGTTAAATCATGCGACCTAGATGTCTCTGAAACTAGACACCTTTAAGGAAATGCAATCTCTCTGTTTCTGAAGGTGAGCTTCCCAGTTGTTCATGTACTTACAAAATATTGTGGATATGAGAAGAACAATTTTTTTTCTTTTTAAAGAGGATTTGTTCCATGATCCAGAACTTCTTTCTGTGGTGTTACTATAAAGCAAAGAAACTGGATAGATATTATCTTCTGTGAGAAGGAAACTAAAGGGACAAGCAATCTAAGATCCTGATCAGGAGAGAAGTATTTGTTCTTTGGCATGACTGCAGGTGCCAGCCACTCCCAGTGGTGCCACCAAGAGAGACAGTGATGACATTTTCCCATCTTTTCATGCCAGCAATCTTTGTGGTAGCCAGAATGAGCAGTGCATCCGCTGCATCTGCTACACACTGAGAAGCTCAGTGACAGACTGAGACTTATTAAATATCTTGAGAAGCACCTGACAGGACTGATATTCTGCACCACATCAGGGTGTGGTGAAGAGCTGGTGCAGAGCTGCATCTTCAAAGAACAATCAAGCTCTTCATTTGCAGAAATGCCACCCATACACAAAACCAAAATTGTGCAAAAGATCTGATCTGAAAACCTGGCATGCTCAGGCCAAAAAAAAAAAAAAAAATCTCAAAATCTCTTGCTGCTCTTGGGTGTGGAAGACAACACACTGCTCATACACTCCTTTTTATGTGGATCTTTTATAAATTAGAAATGGATCCTAATAATGGTAAATAAGGTAACAGTACTATGTTCTAGAATGTGATCTTTCAGGATCTTTGCTTCCATCTTTGAATGATCTTTCATTTCCACTATACATAAAAAGACACATATGCAAACATGTGAAACTACTAATAGTTCAGATATAAAACAGGGATACAAGGATTCTGAGGAAATTGCATCAAGAGGGAAATAATAGTCAAAAATCAGTTTTAGAATATTAAATAACTATTTTTAATACTGTGGAGGTAAGTGTATAAAGTAATTTCTCAAGTAAAGCTTTAGGTGAGGTTTGTTTTTTTCCTAAAGGTACAGCATGAAACTGAGATAGCAAAGCTGGTGCAGCCTGTGCTTACCCAAGACAAGTAAGGGCTTGATAAACCAAATTTGCTCAAGGGTTTCATCTGCATGTTTAATGTTTTCACAGGTAGGTCACTTAATGCAAAATACCTCCTAAGTTTTTGGAGGAAATGTAACTGCTGACACAGATTCTGTCCCCTGACATCTGCTATTACATCATGGGTAGGACTATCTCCAGCATCAAGAAAGTCTCCTGACAAACAATCAGTTCCCAGTGTAAGAAGTGGGGGTGGAACATAAGGCACCACAACAGAATTTATTCAGAGTGTGGGGAACTGACTTTAAAGTTTCATCCAATCTACTTCAGAAAGATAGGTTACACGCGGGACTCTACGTATTTACATAGATTATTGTCAGTCCTCCTTATCTCCCATTAGTCACTTCAGGTCTGTACAGCAGTCTGAAGATATGGAGTGCTATGTTAGTGCTAAGTATGTGACTGATCACCTGTTACCAGAGACTGACTGAGTCTGTTATAGAGACTGAAATACTCTTTTCATTATCCTGAGAAACAGAAAACCTTCTCAGCCAAGAAGACAGGGCTGGCACCTTCAACTCAAGGTCATCCCAGGAGTTGCAACTCTATTTTCACTTCAACACAGAGACAGAGCCGAAAGCACAGTCAGTGAACCACAGCGTGACACTGTGCTGAGCACACTGAAGCACTGCATTAATCACTCCGATCACTCTGTTCATTGTTATTTTCCTACTTGGTTAATTTTCCCTTACCTGAAAGTCAGAAGTCCAAGTGCCTCTAAAGGGTTAGAAAACCTCCAGCTCCTCAACAAGGCATACATTTCTGACACAGTTGTTCGATCCCAACTGGGGGCACTGCCCAGCACCAGAGGAAGGGAGCAATTTTGATTATTGCAGTGGTAACGATAAAACCATAAGATTCTTCTCTGTTGCTCTGAGAGTCTGGAAAAGAAGATTAGAAATTCGGTTTGAAATTAAAACCACCTGGAGCTTTGTGTAGCAACAAACTTTATTGTACAGAGGGGCCAAGTCACACAGTACACTGCTTTTCAGCTAAGTACGTGTTTTCCTTGGGGTCGGATATCATTTTCTGCAGACCAGCTTTTATAAGAAAAGTGATACTTATACTTTGGATCTGTCAGCCTTAGGTCATATAAAAATGAAGTGTCAAAAGACATACACATATGATTATTTCACATCCCAAGCACTCTCAATTTTCTTCTCCGCTGTCTCTGTTGTTGGTGTTGGGTTTTTTTAACTGATTGTTTTTACTGTTGTTGGTTTGGGTTTTGTTTCCGGTTTTGTTTTTTTGTTTGTTTGTTTGTTTCCTAAGAAGGTACAGTTATCAGCAGATAAATTGTTACATCCATCTGCTATATATTGTCTCTAACTACTGTAGACACACAACACTGCTAGTCACTGCTTTCATTTCTGCCCTTGCTTTGACTGTTTAAAGCAGGTGTGTCTATTTTTAATGTATCTGCATTTTAAATAGGGCTTAAGCACATCCATGTGCATACACAAAAACACGAGCATGTGCACACACAGAGTGTGATTATCCCTAGCACTGGTATGAGTTTGGAAAAGGGAAGAAAAGCTCCCAGCAACTTCTGTATCTGTTCACAAAGCCTAGCCTGCCATGCTTTGCTGTGCTCACAAAAAAAGCATGTAATATGCCAAATTCCTCAAAGAGATATCAGATATCTAAAGGATATATTGATAAAATGATCAGGCACCACACCATATTTCACCACAGTGAGAAGTGCCACAGAATAATTTCTGATTTGTCAACATTTCAGATGTCTTTACCTCATGCATATTAAATCCCAGGTTTTGACACAACAGAAAACAGAAAAATAAATTCCCCTTGAGAGACAAGCCCAGACAATCTCATTAATTTGATATCAGAGCCTTCAAAAGCAAGTTCTGAAAATGTAGACCAATCTCCGGTTCATACAAATCATTACCAAAATCAAGAACATAATTTTTCTTAGTCATATTTGACCAGATTGGCGATCTGTCTACTTAATAACATAACATAATTGTGGCTTGAAACAGACACACATATTTCAGAAGGTGTGAGAAAACTTGTAGAAGTCAGTGAGTAAATAGTTTGTTTCCAGTCAAGCATTTAATTATCCAGATGTGTAAACAGAGCTCAAAATTCAAGTGTTTACATTCTTTCCAAGCTCATCTTCCTTCAATTTGCAGTATTTTGGGATGTTCTTAGCCAAAAAAAAAAATCATATCTGCACTCTAATGGTCAAGACTGTGTCGTTCACAACTCATAGCAATGAGTTCCTCTGGCTCTGTATGCACTAGAGAACTTTCCTGCTTTGCCATTTTGAATTGCAAAGTGTTTAGGAACAGAGAGCAGCAGCACAAAGATGGGCATGTTTTTTACCATAACAAGAGTGAATGTTAATTTCTTTCCTGTAGGAAAATAAGCTCATAGGTGTATGCAGAGATGAACCTAACTGTGACACAAATCCTGTTGTGACCTTCAGTAATAATATCATTTTGGTAATCACTTCAAGAAAGAGCTTCAGAATTCCCAACATGTCTACGGTGATGATAGATGGCTTTGTGAGTGTGTGAAGTCACACAGAGAAAAAGATAACAGTAGGCCTAAGACTTCACTGTCTCTCTTGATTATTTTATGCATTTGGATGGTATTCTGCAGGACAGTTCAGCTAAAGGACCTCTTCTACATGTTAACTTTACGCAGAGATTTAAGCTTTCAAACAGCATCCTCCAAACTAGACAATCTGATGTTCAGGTTAAAGCAGCTAAAGCTTCTACTGAGCTTGCAAAGGGAGATAAGAAATCAATCCTTGTATTGTGTTCTCTAAATAACAGATTTCTCCCTCTGACTTTACTCCAGAGGTAATGCCATTTTCTCTGTCCATGCTTTGAAGACCAGAGACGAAATTAAAGGTTGGTTGGGATAGGGGTTTTAAGGTTCTGATTTTGAGCTTCTTAGTTGTAATAAAAGTTAACATATACATGTGATAGCACATTTAAAATAGATGATAAAAGTACATTGCATACACACAGCATCTTAAGATTGTTATGTTAATAAGGGCATTTCTTTGGCTCAACAGGGATAAGATGCTAATACACCCTCTTTATTGATAAAAATGCAGTTTACGTTTTTTTAGGTAGAGTCGTATCTAAATTTCCCTCCATATAAGATCAAGATTAAACTATATACCTTTCTGCCTAAAACAATTAAACCCCCCAAAACCTAAATAATTCAGTAATTTTCAGTTTAAGTTTTCATTAATCCCTTTAGCTAAATGAAGAGAACAGCTCCTGTGAACGCTTTGTTAGCTGGTATTAATTGTTACCTTTTTTGGGGAGGGAAGAAATGGTAAAAAATGAGTTTAAATTCATCTGAGATGCTTTTGTTGTTCATGTTCAGTACTAAAGCAGAATAAGACAAAAGGCAAAAAGAGGAAGGAGTGGCAAAGCTAGAAAATGCAAATTTCTGTCCCCTGGCACTGGCTTTCACTTGGAAGTTTCTCTGCCATGGACAGCCTAGAAAAGCGTGCAGCATTACCACAGTTTTTTAGACCTCTTCCAGTATTCATCCAACTGGAAGTAGCCTTTCTAATCACAATTCATAGCAAAAGCACTCTTGTGACCACTTGTAGGCAAACTAGACTCCTTCCAGGAAAGTGGTAAAAATGGAAAAGGAAAAGGGAAGCTGAAAGAGAGGAAAAAGGTAGAAGGAAACCGATGAAATAAAGATGGTAGAAACCAGACTGTCATCTTCCTAGCTGCAAACCAGTTTCTGATCCCTACCCTGGAATCCACACTTCACACTGGGATATTGGGCTGTATCAGGTTGGAAGAGCAGCCTTAATCTCACATGGCTAGTATTCCAGAGTTTGTATTTCAAACACAGTAATCCTAAAAGGAATCAGAGGCTCACATCTGAAATGTTTTCAGAACTCAGCCAAAGCAGCTGTCAGTAACTAATGAATTCTCCTCTTGGCACTCTCTTGTCTGGTTTGGTGATGATGCCAAAGATCACACAGTGTAGGGCTGTGAGGAGCACAAGAGCCACATGGTGAAGCTCATTGCTTTCAGTCCCACTGAACGTCTTCATTAATCAACAGCCAAGAGATGTTGGCCATGGAGACCAGTGATCTGAGCCACCTAAGAGACAGACAGCAGTCTGAGATTCAGCTACTGGGAAGTTTGTAGGTCTGGACCAGCTACTGGAGAATACCATGTCCATGTAACAGGAAGAGGCCCAAGCACCAGCAAACAAATCAGAGTGTGGTTGTGAACCATGGAGGATCACATGCCTGTATGTCACTAGCTGGGGAGAGCAGTAAGTCCTGGGGTCAGCTCCTGAATAGACTGTCTAAGCCCAACTACTGGAACAATCAATATTTTTAATGCTATATATAAAAAAAATATATATGCATATGTATATATTCTACCAGCAGACTTGGATCCTGATGAGGCAGAGAGGAGGAACAGAATCGGACTGTCTGTGCTGTCTGTTTTGTGGCACTGTTGCCTGTTTGGGTGGCAAGGTACAGCTTTTTCCTTCTGTTGAGTTATTGATATTATCAGCAATACGTGATCCACCTCTGTAATGGTTGAACATGGGGACATGTTCCCACAGCACAACTGGATTCAACAGCCTGTAACAAACATGCAGCTGTTTGTTTTTAACCACTGTTTCTTCCTTTTCTGGGTTAAGAACATTTTCTGTCCATTCACATATTCCCTCTGCTTCCAGTAGAATGAACAGAAGGATCCTGACAGCCTGAGAAAGGTTTCTTGTGTCTTCTGACCACAGAAACCCATGTATCTCAAAATGGTATTAAAGGATAAAAATCTACATAGATACCTCTCTTTTTCTTGACATATGGAAAAAAGGAAGGAGGAGATCTTCAGATATCATGGCCAAAATGTGTTAGGATACTGATATGTTACAAACTTTTTAAAGAAAATCTTGTGAACGAGGAAGGTAAACAAAAATTGCAGGCTGACAGATTCCTCTTGATCACTAAGTACTAAAAAATGTAATTGTTTCATTCAAAACCCTTCACCTTCATGATTCAACTGGTACATTAGCTTTGCCTATAAGACAGGATAACAGAAAACAAGAAAGAGTGCAAAACCACATGCTCTTTCCTCCGAGAATCAGTTACTGAACTTATCAAAGCTTTAACTCCAAACTTGTGGCTTTCAGTGGTCTCTTCCCTTCATATTCCCAAAAAACTCAAAATTAATGCATTAAGGATGTGATAGGGTTTACCCTTGCCTGTTCTTTGTTATACCTATTGAATGAATTTATTATGCATGAATTTGTGTATGGCCCTCATGAATGTGATGACATTGTCTGACTTTACAGCTTTGTGACAGCAGATTTTAAAAGCTCACCGCTGACTGACTTAGGAAGTACTTTCTTCCCATTGACAATTGATTTCCTACCTGGTTTCACAGAATGTCCCTAGTTCAAATATTGTAGGAATTGATGAGGCATTCACCTTGTCTATCACCATCATGATTATATAAAAATTAATCATGTACACACAGACATTTCTAGTCTTTTCTCCAAACTACAGAGTCCCAAACTTTTTAGCTTCTCTTGGTCAAACAGCTGCTTAATCCCTTTAATGATTTTAGTTGCCCTTCTCTGTACATTTTCCACATCTACTGTGTCTTTCCTGAGTTGTGGAGACAAGAACTATGCAGCATACTCAAAATACAGCTCAGGGTTTTAGACAGCAGTGAAATGGCACACTCTGGTTCCTTCTTTATGCCCTTCCTGATGATGCCCAGCATTTTATTGGCACTTTCAGGTGTTGCTGTCCATTGCATTCATGAGTGCAGGGAAATAGCAGAAGTAACGTCAAGATGTACTTCCTGTATTCTAACTGCCAGTACTGAGTTCAGTGTCATGCAAACATGCTTAGATAATTTTTCCCTAAATATACCCCCTTAAATTTATCCACACTTGAAGCTCATCTGCCATATTTTTGCCCAATTTTGTAAAGTCCTTCTGGATTTCTCCTCCATAGCACAGTGACAATCTGTCAGAGTTTAGTACCATCTGCAAACCTAGAGATTTCCCTGCCCACTTCTTTCACCCTGTCATCAAAGAAGATACTGAATAAAACTGGTCCCAACCCCAAGCACTGGAAGACCCCACTGGTGATTCCTCCATTCTGAAAATCCTATTTTAAACATCCTATCTTTGCCTTTAACCAGTTTTCTTCTAAACCCACGGCAAAATAATTTCTTCCACAAACTAAGTTTTTTGAACATCCAAATGCCTTATGTTCACCAAATCCCCAGTATCCATGCACTCACTGAAAACCTCCTAGGACAGCAACACTTTGGTGAGGCAGGATTTTTGTTCACAGAAGCCACACTGGTTCTTCCCTGACAGATTACTTCATACTTAGATAAATTCTTAATGATCTTTTTCCTTCTTACTGAACCTACCATTTCACCATGAATGGAGGCCAGATGCACTGGCTTGAAGTTCCCCAAATCACTCTGGAACATATATTGTGGTTGGAAATTTTGCTGGCGCCTTGCCAGCACCGTGGCACCACGGCTACTCACAATAAAATACTGACATCCCATTCACATTTTAAAATAAAATAGAAAAACCCAAATCACAGATCCCATGGTTAATAAAAATAATTTTACATTTCATCCTGGTTTTTTTAGAAGTTGAGGTAAACATCAAATACAACAGTAAATCTTTAAAAAAAAATAAATTTGATTTTAAAAACCCCAAGCCATCAACACAGAAATCAGAATAGTCTTCTTAAAAGATACATTGTGTCACACAGAGGGCTAAATTGACTGTAGGGTATTTAGTTATTGTACAATTAATGCACCTTTTGACCTTTGATGGAGGATGAATTCACACAATTAACTGTCAGTAAAATGGCTCTCTGTAAGCACCAAATTCCACTCTGATAATACCTAAAATTATTTTATGCAGTACATAATCCTAATTGGTAGTATAACATACATATAGCTGAGCATACTAATCTGCCTCAGTATATACACTGTGTTTTCTTTGTCTTTATCCACCTTCTCTGAAAGCTAAACTTTAAATACTTCTTTCCTTGCTTATAACTTGAAACAGATTTTTCAATTGCCATTTAACTACTATATCTGAAGTCTGACTGCATAATGACTGAGAGAGGCTGATTTCCATTGAACTCAAAGGTGTTCTTGCTAATACTGATATAGATGTACTGCATCACCTGAAAGTCTTATATTTTGAACCAAAAATTAGTTTTTCGCTTCAAAGACATGAAAAAATAAAGCAATATAAAGAGAAAAACAATTCTTTTCTAAAGTGGTAAAATACACTGCCACCTCCAGGGGCCTATTAGGCTTTGCTGTGATCTATTCTCTTATTTAGAGGTGTTAGTTCTCAAATCAGTCAAGCTAGGCTCCTCCAGAGGAAAATTTTGTTTTTAAAGAATTGGATGCACCTAATTGTGATCGATAGGATAAGCAGAGTAAGCCAAGAATGAGCAGGGCTACCTGGGTACAACTTACAGCAAGGGAGAATGTATCTGAGAAAGCCTTGCAATGTGCTTCAGGCACTCCTGAGTTGGCTTTTCAAGATCCCCTCTTCTTTCTTCAGGTTCGGGTTTAATGAATTCCAGATTAGATTCTGGAAAGTCAACCTTAATTACAAAAAAAAAAAAAAAGAAAAAAAAAAGAAAAAAAATAAAAGAAAGAGACAAGAAAAAAGAAGTGATTTTATCAATATGTGTTGTCAGACACAACTGTCAATTAATGTTATCTTGGATTTGTACGGTAAGTACACACTATAGGATAGAAAGAATGAAGGATAATTCTTTGGGGATGTTCACTGTATGTAACATGTTACTTAAATGTTTTGGTGAGAAATTCAGTCCACAGGAATCACTGGAAGCTAACTTTCCTGAGAGAATTTCATCCACTGTATTTCAGTTTAATTAGAGCTCCATGAACACAAATCAGGAGCAATCTTTTCCTTTTCCCTTCTTTTCCTGGTTTTTAAAGGGGTGGTTTTTTAAGTGGAAAACTTTCACTAATGTAGATCTAGGTTTTTTGGAGTTTTTTTTGTTTGTTTGTTTGTTGCTTTTTTTTTTTAAAGTAGGGATACTTATGATTGCATTATCACTTCTGGATGTTCAATTTCATATGTATTGCAAAACATCTACCAAATTTTCATTCTTTACATTTACATGTGGTGTCAGAAATTCAAGATAATGTTTTTTAAGATATAGAGAAAGTAAACATTCAACCAAAATTTCAATGCTTGAGGTACTTGATAATCTTAGTACATATCTGACTGAAAACTCAGGTTGTTCTTCAAACATTGGCTCAATTTACATCCTTTTCTGGTTTATTAATGCTCACTAAAATCTCTTATCTACTTTTTAATATATATATTTAATGTGCAACACTCTTCTAAAGGTTAAAAAAGTTATTCCCTACAAAACAGTCACATCAGAAAATGAGATCACCTTTAAGGTCCCTTCCTACCCAAGCTATTCATTGTACGAAAATCTATCTTTATGACATTTCCAGCATGTTCCCAAATGGTGATACTGCCACATGCATGGGAATAACTGAAAATGAGAGATCTTGTTCCATTTCTTTCAGTAGAGAGAGATTATAAATTAATAACCATTTACTGTCTCAACATCTCTTTATTATTAATAGGGGGAGCTATTTTAAGGCATGGTCTTTGACTGAACTCCTCAGACTAGAAAATCCCTATTTGCTTGTCTGTTAAAACTAGGCTATTTTTAGGCCAGGCTTTTTTATCTGCATTTTTAGCTGCTTTGACATGTAATTTGCTAACAGATATTCAGCTTTTTAATAGAGAAAACAAATGCCTTTGCCCTTTAAGCATCCAGTTGCTAACTTAACTTGGAAAGGTGGCAAAACTATCATGCAGACTTAATGTATTTTCAATACCAGGAGCACCATTCTGCCCAGATTGAGGGAGCACTTTGACCAGGGCAATGATTGTCCCCCTGTACTTGGTACTGGTGAGGTCAAACCCTATTTTTAGTTCTGGGCCCCTCAGTACAAAAAAGACATTGAAGTATATAACTATATAACTATACTAACACCTATTAACAACTGCTTGTAGCCACTTTCCTTTATGCTACTCAGTCTTATTGTAAGCTGTATGATACAATTACAATGGCACAAAAGCTCAGATTTGACAGGGCAGCTGTTAAGTCAGGTACCATGTCCTTTATTTGTATCAGAAGTATTTTGGGAACCAAAAAATTCAGGTACTGAGTCACTAATTTGTGTCAAAAGTATTTTTGGAACCAAAACGATAACAACAAAAGTTACCCTACAAAAACCTTCTCTAGCCCTCAGAGGTGGTTATTTTGATATGGAAAGCATTAGACATATTTGCCACTGCTCAGAATTACAGACTGTCATCCTGAAGATTAACATGCTTTCTTTGTGTGGCCTTGAAAAGCTGCCTTCTTGCACTTTGTTAGAAAACAACCCTTTGCTTTCTTACCTGCAGTGTGACCGAGGTTGGTGTGTCAGTGGCGCAGATGCCCGGGGTAATCATTGCTGTGGGTGTGCTGCACAGCGTCATGCTGAGCAGCACAGCTCCGTGAACGAGCCGCCTGCAGTAAACACAGAGAGAAACAGGAGAACAGGTTTTATTGAAATTACATCAAAGAACGTGGAACTGGAGAGCTTAAAAGACAAGCAAAAGGAGAACAAACCTTTTCTCTTTATGTGACTGGTACAAATCTGGCCTCGATCAGTAGAGGTTGCATCCTGATGGTCTCACTGCTATCTATGCATTTGCAGGGTTCATGACTCAAATCACATTGCCAAGACATTCTAAGCCAGCTCTGCACTTTACCACTGACTTCTTGTGAGACAGACATTGCCCTTTAAGCTAGATGTAAAATAAGGATAATACTGTATCTATATAATTTCCATCTCAAGATTTAATTTTGAGGACAAATATGTTAGAGACTGCGAAGTGTCGACACAGTGTGAAAAGTGGAGGGCAGCATACATTTATTCCACAAAAAGAAGAAACTCATGGCAATCTACTTCAACCGTGAAGGATCCTTGCTGATTTTATGTGTAGATGGCAGGGAGGAGGGAGTATGATATCAGAGTCTCCAAAGAGCTGAAAGAAATTTGAGTGGGATAGTTTGTACCACGTATACCACATTTGGTTTTAGGACAGATGAAAGATTATGGTCTGAAGTAGCAGTCTGAGCACTACACGTACAAGAAAGTCTTATCAGCAAAACAGGCATGCATGTGGCCTGCAGATAAGAAAACCAGCATGATCTGGCATGTGAACACAACTCAGTCCTGAGAACCTGAATATAATCAGAAAGTTTGGGTGAAAATTCTAAGCATAACCAATCGACTCAGATTAAGAATGCAGTACCTGAATAAAGAAAGATAGAGTACCCTGGATTTAACCTTTCGTTTCACAGAAACACAGAGTATGCTGAGTTGGAAGGGATCCACAAGGATCATTGTGTCCGACTCCTGGCCCTGCACAGGACCATCCACAAGAGTCACACCACGTGCCTGAGAGTGTTGTCCAAACATTTCTTGAACTCTGTCAGGCTTGATGCTGGGACCACTTCTCTGGAGAGCCTATTCCAGTACCCAACCACCCTCTGGGTGAAGAACCTTTTCCTAATATCCAACCTGCCCTGACACAACTACAGGTCATTCCCCTCATGTCCTGTCACTGGTCACCACAGAGAAGAAATCAGTGTCTGCCCCTCCTTTTCCCTCACGAGGAAGTTGTAACTGCAATAAGGTCTCCCCTCAGTCTCCTCTTCTACAGGTGCCCTCAGCCGCTCCTCACATGCCTTCCCCTCAAGGCCCTGCACCATCTTCGTGGCCCTCCTCTGGATGCTCTTCAACAGCTTAATATATTTCTTGTACTCATTCTGGTGACCAAAACTGCCACAATATTTGAAGTGAGACTGGACCTATTTGTCCATATCTTAATCATTAGTGAGGTCAGAAATTTGATTATGATCAGCATCTCTACTTTTACTGACAAACAATTTTTATTAATATCTTTTCAAACACTGCTCAGTCATAAAAACTGAGAGATGCACTGGATACCCTTCTGCCCATTGCAGCAGAAAGAGCCAGTCAGAAAAGTGAGGTTTGAATGCCCAGCTTTTACCTAAGAGTAGGTACAAGAGAATCCAGATGGACTATTTGATCCCAGCATGAGTTTCCAACGTTGCTGTATGAAAGTACCTCTTGAACTGTAAACTGAAATAAATTGCTTTAAGTCACCCGAGGAAGGCCTAAGAAACTCCTGCAAGGTCACTGTTACAGTCAACATAAATTAGTATAAACATAACTCAGGACTAATTTTTCTATTTCATGCTGTTCACGTTGTTAGTGCAAACATTTTATTTTATTGTGAGAACACAGCTCAGGAGCATTAAAGACAACCATTTTCTGAAGTTTCTTTTGCAGCTGTAGGTACATTTGCAGGGGAATGGAGGCAGAAAAAGAGCTGTGATGTGAACAGGAGAGCACTTGAGGGAAAGCAGCAGTTGTGTTATATGAAGTCTTTCCCATTTAGGTCATCGATGTGAATGTGGAAATGATCAACGGTGATTCAAAGTTGTTTTCCTGTGATGTGTACTCAGATGACCTTTAATAAATGAGTGGCATCTCTTCAAGCTTTGTTGACATCTTTGTTCAAATCTTTGTTGACAAAGATTTACATCATCATGTGAACTAATTGGCACTTTTGTTAGAAGGGAGAGGAGTAGCTTAGAACAAATGAAAATGAAGACTAAATTATCCTTCTGAGCTCTCATTACTGCTAATCACTCTCATATTGTGCTCTAAAACTATGGGGGGCTTTAAAAAAGAATCCATACAGTGGTTTTTTTTCCTGGGAAACCTGTGTAGACAAATACAAGAAGTAGCACAGACCTCAGAGGTACTGTAGATGAGTTTATTTGAGACATTTCCTGAGCTCATTATTTCAACTCATTTACACCCAGTACTAATGTGGCTAAAGACCATCCAGGAAGATAAGGAAGAATCATCAGATGGGCTTCTCAGGGTCCTCAGCTGGAGAAACAGCAAGTAAAGCAACTTCCCTTTGCTGGACTGAGACGATTTCACATGGTAGAGCAGATTACAGGAATGTGAGTAAAACCAAAGATGTTAAGCCACTTCCACTGTGTGGAAATAACATCTCCTCAGAAAAAATGAATTTTATGAGACATATTAATTCCTTGTATATAAACTAGCCTAATTTATACATTTAGAAATAAGTGAGCAACTTCTGTATCTTCCATCAGTAAATCACTCTTTGGAGTAAGGCTAAACTGTAAACACAGGAGGTATTTTTTAAAAGATCACATCAGCTGGGAATTAGGGTGTATGTTTCTGAAGCACAGCTTTCCCTAGCAATCTCTTGGGCACTGTACACACTGCACACTCAATCTTCTTCCATCACTATTTTTAGAAAAAGAAGCTGGAGCGTGTGCAGGATCCATTCTGAAAAGGAAGGAACTATCATCATGAGCATGATAACCATGACCTTTACTGAATGGACAGACTCCCCTCTCTGCCACCTGGTTGTGCTGATGACAGGCAGGACACTCCCCGTTCTGCCTGCCAGTCTTCCCATCTGTGAGGCCAGTGACAGTGGCCTTCTAAAGACTGTGTAACGATCACAGCCAATGGCTTCATGCAACAGCTTCAGCATCAAGCACATCAGAAGGTGAATAATCAGAGGCATCTACTGTCCTTTATTTTTTTATATGCTGATGGAAAGCCCTGGAATTACACAGACTCTCAGCTCTTGTTTATTACCAGAGATAAAATAAACTTCCCATCTTATCACAGAAGAGGACACTATTATTTAAAGGCAGCTCAAGGCATCCTAACTAAACGAAGTCAGTTTGTATCCTGAAGTCACATTGCAGACTTCCCTCACCATACCCTGCAAGAGGAAAGTTTTGTTGCTTGCTCTGTCTGATTTGGAAATGCAAGTTCAAAATAAATTGTAGTGTTGGGGTCAGTGAAGTCAGAGCAGTGGGCACTATGGGGGACACTGCAACTCCAAAATTGCCCCAAATGATGGATTTCTGATTTGCTAATTAGCTCTAGATCACTAAATTATTCAGCCCAAGAGACAAACAGTTTCTGATGTGAAGGAAGGGAAAGTTGACACACAGCCTTGAAAACACACTTTGAACTGCCTCTTGTGTCTAGTAAGACTTCTTGTTACAGAAGCACCATCAAGGGCTCTATTGGCATTGATTTAGGGCTAATATCTGACTTAAGTCAGCTACTTGATAAGGCTGAGAAATGCAGATATGGAGGCTCACCTACTGGACAAGTTGTCAGCTGCACTCATTATTACTGTGCTCATTCCCAAATGGATATAACATCAGAGTAGAGTTACTGTTTAGGCTGGCTATACCAGGAAAATTAGGACAAAGTACTGTGTAAAAATAATGCAATTATCCCCAAACCCGACATTATAAGTCTTAGAAATTCAGAGTTGAGGTTAAATCCAAAGCTCCTAAAATATAAAACTCCCCATAGCTTATGACCCAAGCTGTCTAAATTCTGTATTGGAATGATACTGTGAAATACCTACTTTATTACAATTACAAATGCTACAGAGCTCTAGAAAATTCAAAACAGAGATAGAATTTTCAACTGCAAAGTAATGCTAAGTGTCCTATAGACATTTGTAAGGGCCATAACCTTGATCCCCACAGTTTCCAGGTTAAATAACTTCCTTAAATTTGTATAAATTTGAAATAATATTATCAGATTATTTCAGACTTTTAAAACAAATTTGCAGGTACGTTCCTGATTACTTCCTAAATTTTGACCCAAAAATGTAAAGTTTAAGTTTACAAGCAATAACTTTAAGGTAAATAACTACATTCAGGCAACCTTTGGAGAATATCAGCCAGAAGTAATTTTTGTAAAGGGTGAAACTAGTTGTACAGAAACATCCAAAGTTGATAAGCATTAACCCCAGTACATGTCTGGTAAAGACTGTATATCCAGCAGCCAGTCATGTTATAAATTTGCACACTGTGAGAAAACTGACAGAATTAGAGTTCAGGAAGTAATTAAAATTAAGCAAATTTGAAATTTACTAATCATCTATTCACTGGCAAGTCTTTATCAACAACAACAAACCTAAAATAGGCCAAATTCTTGAGAACATTTTTAGGTATTGTGTGGTTTCAAAATGGGCTAGGTATGAAGAGATTGTAATAAAAAAATAAATAATACACTTTAAATATCTAGATTTTGCTTCTTTATAGATATATATGTTTTTCATACACTCTGCTTAGTAATTTTTTAGAGGAGAATTGGAGTGCTGAAATCTCAGAAAATAACTACAGCTTTTTAATCTGGCAAGAGACTTTGTTTGACATGGTCTTGCCCAAAAGCATGAGGAACTTCACACTTCTTGAAAAAAATGAAAGAAATTTCAATACTTTATATGTCAAAATATGTTCATGCTTTCTTATTCTTCAGTTCAAACTAAACATAAAGATTAAAATATGAAGGACAGAAGTGACCATACAATGACAATAATCACTTCAGAAGAGAAAATAGGTATAAAATTTACAGAGATAAGTAAACTCAGAATCTTTTAAAATAAAGTGTTCTTTTGCCCTAAGTCACTAGTAGATCAAGGTTCCTATGTAATATCAGGGAATAACCCAAAACTTTTCTTTTTTCCCCTTCTGTCTCTGTAACATAAACTACAATGAGCTTGATCAAATTCCTCTGTTTTTAATCAGAAGATACAATGGGACAGAAATGAGAAACTGTATTTTTAAAATGTTTGACATTTATTGTGCTTCTCCAATATTTAACAAAACAATCTGGCTCTTTTTAATTTTTTTTTTTAACAAGCATCTGAATAGAGAAAGAGGGGCCACACTCTGTCCTTATCTTCACTGACACTGAGAAGAACAACCCTGAGAAGAGACCAACTGAGACAAGGATTTGAACAAGGATGTTTGATGACCCAGGTAAATACCTCAGGGCTGCTGGCTTCTTCAAAGAGCTTACTTCTGTCCTTTCCCCAGTAAATTAAATCCTGGACATAAGAATGTTAAGACTTTCATAGAACTCACATTCACCTCTGACAAACGTTCTCTTTTGAGAAAGTGGTATTTTCCAAGCTAGAAATGTTTTGTCAAAGATTTTCTGGTCAGATTTCTTTAATCTCTTCATATACATTTACAGAGGTTGTTATTTAGAGACCCTAATACAATAATCTTTGCAGTAATACAAGGTGCTCTTGACATATTAGCACGACACTATAGGTACAAATCTTTTCTTGGTACATACTTTCAAGTTTGGAAGTACTTTATTGAAATAAGTCTTGCAGTTTAGTTGCATTCCAGCAGCAAGGGGACTTTCAGGGCAATTCTTATTTTTAAACCAATCAGTCTATCAATTGAAATCACGGTGAAAGAATAATTCTGTGGAGCTTTGGTTGGCTAAAAGAGGAAAAAGCATTTAGGCTTCTTTGTGTTAGTAATTACTATAATTGCAAATGACACAGCTATCAGATTAGGGGGTGTTGAACATGCTATTCCTAAATCATTCCTCCCCAACAACTCACCCCTCATTTCTGCTTTGAGGGGTCATTTCAGCAATGATCTCTACAATTACATAGCAAATGCGTGGAAAGTAGCCCTCTCTCCCCTTCCTTGTGCTGATTGTGTGTACCAGGAAAGAATGGAGCCATTTTTCAGTAAAATTTTTGAAACTGTCTGGGTGATCTGGAGATCTCCCCAATGAAAATCAACATCCTTGCTTTGATGGCGTACACTGAAAAAAATCACTGGTTGCTGAGGGCTTTCAGAACTTCCAAAAATCATTACTTTTGGACTCGAATGCCGAAAAATAAGAAAATCTCTAGAACAACACAGGTCCTCAAGAAGAGGATCCCCACATAGGCACCTTTGGAAGTAAATGGAATAAGTGTCCCCCTGTTATCATGCCTAATGCTCTGCTGCTGAATGAATGTACTCAGCACATATCAGCTTGCTGGGGATAAGGGCAACTGAACCCTTCATCTCAAGTTAGACTCTCAGCCAAGACACTCCCTCTCTATTTCACCCTAAACACTAGGATAGTAGAAATACTCAAAATAAACGTATTGCGTGTTTTGTTTAAAAAGATATACACAGTCAAAGAATGAGTGATGTGCTCCTCTTGAAACTAACCATGAAAAGTAATTGAATGAACTGCCCAAGCAATCCTTGGTGCAGAGATTCATGTTTCTTTCCTTCCTTCAAGCCAAGTGCCCTAATCACCAAGTCAGAAAAGAGCAGAGTAATTGAATTTTCTCAAAAAGATGGAAAAAGCCTCTAGCCCAGTCCAACCTATTTTCTAAGCCTCTCAAGCTTCAAAGTTCAGGGAAACACAAGGTCTTTCAAACATGGCAATTTCATACTCACAATCAGACATTTTATTTGTTTTATTTTGCTTTAAGTGGTGATTGCCATGATATAGAGATCAGTAGATCAGTAAATCAAGTCTCAATATAAGGAAAGAGCTATAGCTTAGAGATGGATGCTAATGAAGGAACTTGTATGTTTTGGACGTACCCATCTATTGCTCAGAGGATATGCAGGGCTATGGAGTCCAAATAAAAATGTTAGTATCATTGTAAAGACTTGATCTAAATTCAGATGTCACAGTGCTACTAAAATATATTTAGAGCATTGCAAAAAATTTACCTTAGTTTCTATACATCACTGCAGAGACGTTCAAAGCCACAAGCACCTTTAAAGCATTGTTACGTTGTGTACTGTGTAGAAAGAAGAGGTTAAAAAAAGAGGAGAAAGCTTCTGAAGTGGTGTGGAGAGGCAAAGGTGCTCATTGTGGTCATCGCTAACTGTCCCAATTTAAGCAGAATGAATGGGTGTGAGAACAGAAAAAACCACCAACCATTGTGAACAAGAGGATAGGTTGAAAAGGATTCTGCAAAGCTACAGGAAAGGGTTCAGCAAGGCCTTTCAACATGCCTACAGAAGTTTATTGTAAGTGTTAAATAATCACCTAAGCCAAGTTCAAAAACAATATATGGCAAAGAAAGAAAAGCTTATGGATGGGGCTCTTACTGGGACATCAAAAGCATTTTACTGTGACTGCCTCAGTCTTATTACTGCAATGTCCCGAAATGAGTATTTCTGTCTTTTTATATTTCTCCCAAGTTGAGTGCAATACTATTCAAGAATGGTCTTTTCTTAAGCTGTCATACAAAACTGAACTTACTCTTTTGGATACAATGGGGAGCATGTCCAAGCAAGCACTTCTGTATTTTTAGAGGCACTGTTTACTCCCAGTAGTTTTATTGTCAGCATAGTTTCCCTCGGAAGAGCCTTTATTCGTAGAGGAAAGTTGATTCTAAAAAAAAAAAAAGGCAAAAAATCAGAAAGGAGAAAAATAAAAGTTGAAAAAAATTGAGCATTGTTACAACTGAGTTCTTTCTACATTTTTCTAGATTCCCTAACACATATATCAAATTATAAATTACAGGAGTCACACTCTGAAGGAAAATGCAACTGACAGATCCCTTCAATCCACTGATGAATATTGACTTCAGTGGTAACCACCAGAGCTGACAAAGGTAGGAAAGCTTAGTTAAACTTTGCTTTAGAATTACCTTATTAATGAAAGGGTATTTCAGAACAAACAAACCCCTAAGGGTGAATTGTAAACCAATAGTCAGTTATTTGCAGTCTTGTGTCTTCAGAGGAAAACACCACTTAAGAAACCAAATGTTGCTTCTGAGTAGAATATGATAATAAGTCTCTTGTTCAGATGTGCTTTAGTGCTGTGATATTTCCCAACCATAATTTACAGACAGATTCTGTCTTAACAGCAATGAGCGATTCATATTTTTTAGTGAAAATAATCAGTTTTATCAATATTCATCTCCACTTTGTATTGACCATTAGCAAACTTGACTGGTCATTCCATTTGTTTATATAGTTTATAAAAATTCATAACTTAGAATAATTCTAATAAATAAGATACTTTCATGCTGTATGGATAAATCATGCATGGAATTACCCAGACATTTGCAAATTTGTATTTTCTTTTTCCTGAAAAGATTGTTAATAGTGGGTAGTGCATTTCTAGCTTTTTTCCATGTATATTCAGTGCAAGCCTAAATTTCTCAAGCGGAGAGGAAAATTATTACACTTTTTCTGTACAAACAAAATCAATATAAGGAGCTAGAGGCTAAAAGAATTATTCCACATTGACAACATAATCATTAAGAAAACAAAAGATCTGTATAATGGAGATTAAAAAAACAAACTAGAAGATAAATTTAAATAACATACATTGGCAGAGCAACGCAACTCAGCCTTTTGTCGAAGGTATAGTCATACTTAGTAAGCAGAAGTAGAAACTGTATTTTAAAAGCACAGTAGCTTGAAAAATATAAGAATTATGTGTAACAGAAATAACACACAGTAACACTGTAAGGTAAAATTAGCATAAGATTTTGCCCCTAGTTCCAAATCTGTCAGATTTCTATTGAATTTTAGAAAGTTTCCTTGAATGCACTGAGGAGCCACTGAAAGAAAGTAGAGATTTTCAGCTGAAATTCTGAAGCACTCCAAATTAGCATTAATGTCAAAATTTCAGAAGATCAGTCCTAAACATTTGGAAATTATGGAAATTTGCATACCTTCCGCTTGGAATAACAAAGCAAGACAGCCATTTCCCACTCCTTCTGATTAACAGGAACAGAATTGAGAAGCAATTCTGAACTGTCTTCCCACGTGTCCCTGTTTATAGCTTTCAATTTTACTTTCCCTGTCTCATGCCCTCTTCCTTACCTATAATTATTAGAAACAATTATTGGGAAACTAAACTGTTTCACGTGCTAGAGATGGCTTGTTCTGTCTCTTTCACTGACAGGCCAACAACACTGCCCTTGTTACTTAAAAATGTTTGACAAAGAGTTGCACTTTAAAGCATCATCCATGCTGTGGAGAGACACCAAAAAAAAAAAAAATCAAGACATGCATTTTATGATACAGACAATTGTTAACACTCCTTGAGAACCTGGGGCAGTGAAAAAACCCTCACAATTTGAAGAAACCAAATGATTGATTGGAAACCACCAATACAATCATCCAACTGATTAAAAACTATGGCAAGTTATCCCAAGAGTTAAAGTATGAGCCAAAGAGGACGAACATTTCCCTTCCAGTGACATGTGATACACAAGGAAGGGGAATATCTGTATTGCTTTTGAAACTCTGATTAATAAATATCTGAGCTTACCCAGTTGTTTCATCCTGTATGAGGCTAAGTCAAATAGATGACTAAGAAGAAGAGGAAATGGAACTCTGTCCAGAAATAAGACACCCTATGGGTGAACAATTTCAACAGTAGTTGAGAAGAACAAAGAAGCTGCTCACTGAGAAGGTGCTATTCACAGATATTAGATAAAGTTATACAGCCAAGGGCCTAATATCATAAAAGCACTCAACACTGAAGAGCTTTGGGGCAAACCAGGCTGTGCCCTGAGAGAGTGTAAGCAAAACAGACAAGCCAAACAAAACATGGAGAAGAGGGAAAGCCAGTGCCAAGAAAGTATCTGAGATGATGAATGATGGGTTTAACGTTAATCCCACACCTCACGTCTGTAGGTTTAACATAAATTACGGAGGATGGAAAAGGAGGAGATGGTGGAATAAATATATAGAGAGCAACTAGCTAAGAGAAAAGAAAGAAGATAATGTAAGAGGTCTCAGTCAGTGAAAAATGAAACTGGTGAGAAAATAAAGGGGCAACTTTTGGACTTCACACATTGCATGCTAAATGGTATCAGCCTGTTCAAACTCTGCACCATGGAGACAATAACACTTTTCAAAGACCATACACAAGTTCTAAAGCAAAAGTATACTCAAAAAAGTACAAACAGAAGAAACACTAAACAAGGCAACCTCTGTACATAGCAAATGATTCCCATCATTCCTGAGAACATTCTGGGAAGGACTGAATATGGTAACAGACTTTACTGGAAGCTCATGTTTATACATAAATACCTATCAGCTTAAAGTTCAGGTGCTAACTGGTTGAAGCACTTGAAACCAGAAACTAAATATATGGAAATCAACAAATGAAGCGAGCCTTGTCTTTGGTAGAAGCTCTCTGCCTAGATTCCTAATCACCCAAACACTACTCTCCATATTTTTTCTACTTTGTTAAAATCAATCTTTATCTCGGATCAGGACTCATTTTGAATTAGCTAGTTTTCTTTTTTGGCCTGATTCCTAGCTAGATAGAAAATATCTGACTTCCTAATGTAATAGAAGCTCTTCCTGATGACCTTTTACCACGTGCATTTTCAACAGCTGTTATCAACTGAAAATAGTATATTGGTTAGAATCAAAGTAGAGGGAAATGCTGAAAAGCCTGCCAGACAGATATAAACTTGAGGGGTTTTACTTTGGAATCTATTAGAATCGGATTTTGAAAATTATTTTTGAAACTTAAACAACAATAAGAAGTAAAAATGTGCTCTTACAAACTGATACTATTATATACACCTCTAGATCTTGTTTCTGATGTTAAGAGCATCTTAAAGCATCTAAGACCCATGGAAGAATATGGCTTGCATACTTGACTGTTTCTTTTTCTAAGAAGCATTTGGATGGAATTGCACACATCTAATAATTATTTTGCAGAGGAAGAGGTTTCAGCAGAAAGTCTGAAGCTTCAGGCTTTACATTTTCACGAAATGGGAGAAGAGCAGAGTTTCTGTTTCTGTTACAGCTAAAAATTTATTTCTATTCTATCTTGTTATATTTTGTTTTAGAAAAGGTTTTGTAAGATGCATTCCAGAAAGGCTTCACCCACATTTTAGAAGCCAAATATGCTCCTAAGAAATATAATCTTTCCCTTACACTTGAATTATATCTGCCTATATGTACCATAAGAAAGTACTCGACCAAAACTTGGAGAAGGTGAAAATTCCTACAGAGCATACAAGAATGATCCAATTTTTTAAACACACAGACAGCAGTTACTTTGCAATCACACAAAAGACTGAGGGTTATACACTCAAACACTATGGACTCAACTAAGGCACCAAAGCAGATGTCAAGTCCTAAAAGAACCCTTCTGGATGCTCAGCAGAAGTGCACCTATTTTGTTTCTTCATCATAGGGCAGACCTACTACTCTTCCTTTATCTGTTAGGAGTGCTGTACAAAAAGGCTATGCAAAATCTCCAGTAAGGTAGATGTGTAGCAGGTTTAATATAAAAAGGTCTTCTCCCATATGACCAGCTTGAAACTGCTGTGTCTTACATAAAGGCAAAGAAGTTATGAATTACACTCTGTATTCAATTGTAATTTTAAAAAAACCACCTTTCAAATTACTTGTGGCCTTTGCTCAATTCTAATGTAATCAAGCTGCTTTGAGAGTTAGAATACAGTAAACACTGATGTAAAATACCAAAAATGTCAAAAACTGTAAATATAAACATGTCATGCTCAGGAAGCTGAAAGAATTTCATATTATCACCAAATCACCAACCAAAGCATACCTCTCTCTCATCTGCTGCAAGTATATTTTTTATCATCCCACTGCCTTAAACAAATGTTGTTCAAGTGTGGGCTTTGTTTTTCGGGGGAATTATTTTCTTCAGAGCAGACAGGAAGGTGAGAGGTAATTAGTAGTTTTCACACTAAACTTTCAGTCTCAAATGAAAGTCCTCATTTTAAAACTGAAGATCCTTCTTATAAAAAACACACAACCACTCAAAACCAAGCCAGCAAAGAAACAAAAACAAACCCCAAAACAACAAACCACAACAACCTTGCTGGTTTGCAAAAAAAACCAAAACAAACAAACCCTTAAAGAAATGTTACATTGGGTTTTGAGGTTGCATTGCATATGTACTAGAATTGGATCCAAAAGGTGGAATTCCTCAAAAGAAGACAGAAACACAGCCTTTAGTTGCATCTGCTTTTGGCTCCAGTATTCCTCCACGATGCCTCCACTGAGCAAAAGCTGCTCTCAGACCAGACTTACCTTAGTCCTATTTCTCTTCCTCTGGCTACCCCACTTCTTTCTCACTCCCATCTCCCTAAGTTTCTGTGAATTAATTTGCTCAGAAGAAGATTCATTAAAAAGATGTGGGTGTTTGGGTTTTGGTTTGGTTTTTGTTTGGTTTTGTTTGGTTGGTTGGTTTTTTGTTTGTTTTCTTTTGTGTTTTTTTTTTTTTAATGAATCTTTGATTTGCAGTATCTGTCAGACAAACTTATACCAAACACAGACCCAAACTTACTTCTCATTCCAATCAGCCAGGAAAAAGAAGGATCTTCTAACTGGAGCAGTTTTGCAAATCTTCACTTGGCATATTGTCTTCCCAGCATAAGTTAGTGAACAGGAAAAAGAGAAAACTTTGTAGCTACAAAAGGAAAAAAAAGGAAATGGAAACAACAAAAAAAGAAGATTAATTGTAATGTACCATGTCCACACAGTAAATTTGGAGTTACAGAAACTTGTGAATATCCATCCTGAAAAAAGAAATAAAATAATGAATCTCACATTAATGCGTGTATGAAAGGCTGTTTATTTTGGATTATTTGGTTTTTTAATTTTTCTGAGTTCAAGAAAAATTCTTAAGACATATGAGTTTTCTTTCACGTTTTTGTTATTAAGTTGTGTTTTTTCTCATTATTGCTTTCAAGGAAACTTTGGACATAAGTTCTGAAGTGTTGCTACTTGCTCATCATACAGTCAACAGTAAATCTCCCACCTGGACAACTGTGACAAGCTCCGGGGCCCCCAACACATGAAGGACACAGAACTGCCAGAGCAGGTCCAGAGGAGGCCAGAAAGATGCTCAGAGGGCTGGAGCATCTATCCTATGAAGAGAGGCTGAGAGAGTTGGAGCTGTTCAGCCTAGAGAAGGCTCCAGGGAGACATTGGAGCACCTCCTAGTACCTGAAAGAGTACTCTCTACAAGAGAGCTGGAGAGGGACATTTTACAAGGGTATATAGCTACAGGACAAGTGGAAATAGCTTCAAACTGAGAATAGGTTCACATTAGATATTAAGAAGTTCTTCCCTGTGAGGGTGATGAGACACTGGCACAGGTTGCCCAGAGCAGCTGTGGCTGCTCCATCCCTGGAAGTGTTCAAGGCCAGGTTGGACAGGGCTCTGAGCAACCCAGTCCACTGGAAGGAGTCCCTGAACTTTAAGATCCCTTCCAACCCAGGCCATTGTATGGTTCTATTTATACTTACTTTTCACAATCTGTAAAAAAAAGGTTAATACTCAAGGGATTCTATACATTCTTTACAGCAGAAGCATTAAAGGCCTCTTGTTGGTTGTCCTCAGACAGTTTTCCAACAGGCTTCATAGTGAAATTCAGGACTGGGGCTATCTGTTGTTTCATGTTCTTCTTACTGAAATATTCTAAAATATTAGTCAAAATAAAGCCATAGAATATAAATAACCAATGTTCTTAATGAGTCTTGTGACTTCCAGGTCTTCCTGCCAGTCTCAGCTTTAGATCTCATTCTGTACAAGAATAGTGAGCATGGAGGCAGTCAAATGTGAACAGGAAATTTGAAGCAGTTGCAGACTGAAGGTCTGCATATAAATATGACTTTGTCATATTTATAAGAATGATGGTTGATCTCTTCCAGAACATTATAATAATTTTTATAATTACTGTAACAGATTTGCTTTTCAATTTTTTTCTCTCTCTCTTTTTTTTTTGTTTATTCCAAGACAAGGATCAGTAATCTGTAGTACTATGAGGCATCAATGCAGAGAGAGAAAAAAATACTTTGTAAAACTAGGAAAATGCTTCCCTTAGAGTCCAAACATTGCAAACAGTTGGAGGATAGCTCAGGAAAGAATAGGTTTTAATACAATCAAATTATTAAGTATTGCTGTTTAAGCAGAAGCACCAATACATAATATACAGACATATTCCTGATTCATAAATCATTAGAGCCTAATCCTGGAAAGATTAATGCTTATACAATGTTTATTCTGACTGAAGTCAGACAGGTTGCTCAGAGCACATGCACTTCAACCCACTTGAGGTCTCTGCAGAGCATTTTGCCTAAGCAGCCTCCCTGTGAATTCAAAGACATGACTCTGTGGTTTTGTCCCAGAGATCACTTCATATCACCCAGATGTAGACAGGAACCTGATTGGTTTTGGCTGTAGAAACAAATGCAGTAAAACATGAAAATGGCAGTGTTATGCCACTGGCAGCAAATAAGGCACATCTGCGTGGAATTTAAATGAAATAGAACAACAAACAGATAAAAGAAACAAGAAGAAATTAAAATAAGAAAATAAATAAAGGTTACCAGTTTTGCAACATTCTTCTGCAACTTATAATGTCTGTACCAATCTTTTTAATGAGGACAGTAAGACATATTCCTGTCCTCATATAGACATATTCCTGAGTTACTGTATAGACATTACAAGTTGCATAATAATGTTGAAATTGAGAACACAGATATAAAAATTGACAAAAATTCAAGCCACAAAAGTGAAATTGATAGGGATTTGACATCATACAAACATGACTCGGTAAAGCATGAGATAATTCTCCATTATCTCAAAGAATTAAAAGAAAAGACATTTATCAGATATATTTCTATACTTATGGATAGGAAACCAAAATAAGATAGACAATGAGAGATGTCAAAATTCTAGCCTTTATAAGATATACATTATAGATATAAAATGTGTATACATATTATATATAAAATATGTATATATATAATGTATATGCAGGGAAATATATATTAAAACCCATATTAAAACCAGCAGCAAAAGCATTAAATATGACCTTCAGAAAAGGAAAAATTAGATCTGTGACACAGTCAGCATAGTCAAGCAGTGCAGAAATAAGAATGGGGTATGTGCATGTGATTGATGTTAGTGAAAGTACTTGAGGAAAGCATATGTCAGAGTAGCAGTCTGTGTTAAGAAATCCGTGCTGTGGAATATGAATATTGGAAAGACTGGAAATGGGAGATTAAGGAGGAATACAGATTCTCATTTTCACATACTTGGACATATAGCCTTTAGGCCATATGCAATTTCAAATTTTTCTGGTACAACAAAATGCAGTGGGAATGGTATAACCATTTGAAATCAGGATAGTTATTATATTTCTGTATTTATTATCTTAACTAATACAAAGTCTCTTAGATTTCTATTAAACTGGTAATTACAGTTAATGCTCTATAGTACACTCTTGCTCATAGTCTAATGTAAATGAATCCACTGTCATTTGGAATTCAAGGTAAAATGGGAGCAAGGGAAAAATAACTTTGAGAACCACATTTTGACTCAAAAATAATGCTACCACACTGTGGTCCCCTTTCCCTCTTTGAGCACACTGGAGTGGTAAGAGAACACCAGTTTTGCTCAGAGTGGGAAAAGTACATATTTAAAGAGACAACTACTTTTACCAAATTTTACCAACACAGAAGAGAATACTCCAATCAGCTTTTTGTTAAAGTTGTTGCCCCCTTTCTTCGTTATGTTACGCTGATGTACCAGGTATACTTGGATCTGTAAAATACATTTATTTTAATCACCTTCCATAAAGAGGATAGCCAATGCAGATGCTTAGCCATGTAACGCTGAATACACCAAGAGTTAAAGTTGCTGAGAAAGCCTCATTCAGGCTGGGTTGGAGCAAAAGCAGCCCTCTGTTTAGTTGGGTAAGCTGGCCTCCAGCCCTTCCAGTTATTTGTACTGCAGAGACCACATAAAGTCCCAGCCCAAATTCTCTCAGCCTGCAGTGAGCATCCATTCCTCCTTCCCCCTGAGCAAGTCAGCCATGGAAGCATTTCTGAGCTCACCCATCAAGGCCAATGCTCTGAGGTAGTTTCTACTGCCATCCGTCCACACTGGTCAAGGGCAACGAGCCAGGCTATCTCCCTGATTCTCCATCACCTATGGGGCCTGGAAGTCTCCTAGTTAGTCAAGTTTAAGTAAATGCACTTTATGCTAGAAAAACAGTAGAAATACACCCACTCAGTCTCTAACATTAATATAAAAGTATCACCAAAGCAACAGAGCTAAGCTGGTATCTGTGAAAAATACGTGATGAAACAGACAACACGTCATCTTGTGAACACTTGCTGGACCCCCTCCTACCTGTTCACCCAGGCTTCTGGGATGTTATGGGCAGCATAAACAGTGAAGCTGAGCAGGGAATCTAGGCTGATGTCTGCACAGGAAGGGCTTTTGGGTATGCTGGCAAGCTGAAAATTTGCATCAAAGCTGCTGCTGTAAACATGGATGAGACGAGAGATGGCAATGGAGAGCTCAGTCACAGCAGCCTCTATTAACACTGAGAAGAGAGAGAGAAATAAATAAAGGTTAGAAATAGGTCATTTGTGAAGAACCATATTTATCTTAAACCATCAGTTAGAGCTTTGAAATGCTTCCCTAATAAAATTTAATTAAAATGACATAACCTACCAACTGAAGCCAATTAGCCATCTGTGCTTCTGAAAGCAGCCTTAGCTCATTTCTGGTGTATCATTAACAGTCCTTCATTACAGTGCTTTCAAATTAAGGCATTTTCAAAGTAAGCATTTTCAACTACAGCAAGTTAGTGTGTGCCTCAGATATGTCATTTCAGTCTGTGAATTTTTGGGCTGGAAGGATTTTTATTGAGTAGGTATTTTGTGACTTCAGCACTAAGTAGCTACTTACTTCAAGGGAACCAGCAATGCAGCCATAGAGTAGAGAAAAGGCACTGGTTAAATCTTAAGACCATAAGCTGTTGCAACTGTAGGTGAACAATTCACAAAACACACACAATAGCAGCCACAATCAGACATAGCACTCAGATGGTCATGGACTGGTGACAACATTACACAACAGTGAGCACTGAAATACACACCCACAGGAATGCATATGAAATTCATTATTTATATCACACCTTTATTTCTGTTGTTTCCTCTGGCTTCAGCTCTGCAATGCCTTTTTTTTTTTTTTTTTTTTTTGTGCAATTACTGACTTTTATCTATCTTCCCTCTCTCTGTTTTTGGAGCAGCTTGGGATCGCCTGATTACCAGTGTAAATTAAAAACCCCAGTCCTGGCAGCCTCCATCGAGTGAAGAGAGCTGTTAAGAGCACTCATTTCTAAGGCAAGGGACAGGTTAAGAGAGAAAGTGTCATAGTACATTATATCATTCCAAGATCAAGATGATTAGTCTTCCAAGAGGAAGACAATTTCTCCTTTTTTCACCCCTCTAACTCATGGGTTTCTACATGATCAAGAGCATACTCTCACCACTTCTCACCATTCCTGACATGCTCCCTAAACTTGTTTGGCCACTGTAGTCAGCAGCCATCTGTTAGCTAATAGTGACTATGGGGGGAAAAAATGAAACAACCCAGGAACAGGAAGCCTGAGACATCTATTAGTTTTTATACTTGGAATAGATGCAGGAGTCCTGCCCAGCATCTCATACAGATACCACAATTCACTGCAGTTAGCTATCTCAGTTTCCTGACAAAAATGTGTCCAAAACCCTATCCTCAGTCTGGAATTTTGTTCTCCTTCTTCAATACCTTTTGCCTTTAAATTAGCAAATACTCAGAACTATTGAATCACAAAATGCATTGCAAACAGTGCCAAGAAATTATTTCAATCTTCATTTTATAATTTATAATAGACAAATTTTAAGTTTTCAGCAATAGAAATATACATAAAACTGAAATAGTTTGACATACAGTGGGGTTTGCTACTGAAAATGCTGACAGCAAATTATTGCACACATGAAGGACTGCCTAAAGTACTACACCTTGCTATGTTGTAATCACCTTCCATACAAGAAAACTGAATCATTTTAGAGGTTAAGAACAGGTTAAGAAAACTTGGGCCTTTTACTCTCTGTGTATATCTCTCTGTCTAGCACTTGTTTTTTAATTACTTTTTTATTTATTCTCTTCAGTATTTTCACCATTTATCATCCCCCACCATAATTGTTTTGAATAAATCTTTTCCTCTAACGATTTTTCCCCTAGAATACCATTTCATTCTCATAGCCAGTTCTCTTGAATGTTTAATCACTTATTACCTTCCAAATTAAATGTTTAATTTGCACTGAAATCTTTCACATTCCCAGAACTTACCTACAGTCTATGTGTAACATAGAGCCTTTAAGAGGTCCAGAAGAGGACATCAGCTGGCTATTGTTTGAAACAGTACCTCCTACCTTATCTGAGAAGTACCACACTATTTACATTTGGAGCAAACAGCTACTTGGGAGATTCCCCGTCTCCAAGCTGTTCAAAGTGGCTGACAGGTAGATATGGTGTAACAGAAAAATCCTTATTTATGCACATTGGCCTATTAAAGCAATGATTGCTGAGTGGAACCTTCCAGGCATTTTCTCCAAAAGAGGGTATAAAACATAGTTCAGAATCTGTGGAAACAGTTTTAATACAATCCATATCATAGGATTTAAGGCAATGTTTCAAATTTTGTCTCCAGAACAAGAAGAAATGTATTATATCTCAGCTAAGCCACAGAAAGAACAGAATACTCCATGGGCAAAGGATTCACAAAAAGGAAAGTCAGGAGAAACATATACGATAAGGTATTGTCCATAATATAAAATTTACACATACTAGGCAAGGAATTGTATAAGATGTAAGATTCCTATCACTATGTCCAAGCTATCTGTTGACCATGTTTGCAGAAAAACTACAGTTATGATTTGCCTGTTACCAAAAAGAATGTTAGATACCTAAAAACGAGACAAGCAAACAAAAGCAAACAAAAAACTCAACAAACAAAAGAAAATCCACCAAAACTGAGGGGAAAATTTTGAGTTAACTATTTATAACATGCTTCTATCTGGCAGTGATGAGGTGCAAAAAGTTTTCTGGCTGTCAGAGAACTGCCCACTGTGGGAAGATGGGGCAAGGCTAGAAGTCTTTACTTAGCTGTAGACAATGTCCATGAGACTCTCTGCTGAAGGGAGGTGGGAGATGTTATTCCTTTCCCTCTCTCAAATTTCCATCTGTCACTTGAGGGCTTGCAGGGTCTGTGCCTGACTGCAGAAATGGAGTCAGTCTGGACACAAGGCCTGAGATTGGCACTCCAGGCTCACTATTGCTACAGCGGCATGGAAGGGGTGAAGACAGAAATGGAGCAACAAGGGGCAATTGGTTCAGCTGCCAGACAAGGGAATCAAATGAATTTCAGCATTATTCATCAAATTATTAGGAAATACAGAAGGAAGATAACCTCAGGAACAGAGCTCCTAAGGTGTAAGCAAATGTCCATGTACAACCTGGTCTTCACCTCCAGGATTTTTTTCAACATTCATTTTCTCACTCATGTTAGCCTCAGTTTTAAAACACTCAGTGGTTTCTGTGCCTGAGCCAACCCTTTTTCAACCCCATTCTTCACTCATTAAGACCAGTAGCAATCAACTAAATTAGAGACAAACATCTTGGGTAGTCTGTAAATGTCCATTACTCATAAAACTTGGTCAGCATCTTTCCACTGTATTTTTATGAGCTGCTGAATAGGATTTGGTAAACTGAAATTATATCACCTGTCCATGAAGCCAGAGAACTTTACTGGGTTTTATGACTTTTATGATTAATAAATCTCAGATGAGAAAAGACTATAGTGTTTCACTGATTTACACAGCACAGCCTATGGACTTCCTACAGCAGATTCACAGCTGCAGCTGTGTCAGAACTTATTTTCTAGAAAGGTGTCCCAGGCATAGCCAGTAGGGAGGAGACAATGAAGAGACCACATCGCAAAGTGAACTGTGACCAAGATTAATAATCTCACAGCTCAAACCTCGTCATTTACTTCTGGTGTGAAATTATTTGCCATCACCTTCTCACTGAAGGTGAGAAGAAATCAGACTTGCAGAAATGAGACGAGAACAAGGGAAGTGAACTTTAACCACAGCTGCCAGATATGCTTATCTCTGACACACTCCTTGTACATGAAGTCTGAAGGAATAAATTTCACCCTTGGTCAGAAACAGAACAATCCACAAAATCCCTGAAAGTGTTAATGAATATACGTGAAGATGCCTTCAAGATTTAGTAAGTAACTAGCGTATTCCTTACAAAAACCCACTTATTTTCCTCTTTTCAGTCCAGTATTACAATTCACGTTCTAGTGCCAGACCTTCCAATGGGACAGGTAATTTGCTGTTACTGCAGCAGCAGATGATGTCAATTCAATACACGTTAAACACTCTCTCTGACTCTGTACATGTTTTGTCTGGTTAAAACATGACAAATATCTGGTTGAACAGAATTTGGAATGAAGGCTTAGACCTTTCTGACACATTAAAAATATTTTTGAGAAACGGAGCTTGATATTTTTCTTTCCAATTTATTTTCAGAGAGAAAAAACCCAAGATCTTGAATACAATTCATGTCACATACACACAGACCCCTCCCACCACCCACAAAGACAAACAAACAAAAAGCCAACAGGAAAAGACCCCCTAACATTCCAATCAAGTGCTAAGCAGCATTAACTAGATCACTATTGTAATAAGAAAGAGGAAAAACCTGAAAAGACTTTAATGCAAGTAGTGATAGGATGCAGCTTCCAAACACCAATATTTACCATACTGTTTCTTTCTACTAGTTGAAGAGTCCTATGGATTATCCCTTGAAAGCAACTTAAAAATCTGCTGTCCTGTTATCAAAAATGTCTCTGCTCCTATATGCTTTATAAGGCCTTGGTAACTTCTGCCTAATTTTTCTGAAGAACTGGGGGGTTGCAAGTATTTAAAAATTGGTCTTGATTAAAACATATCAGGATGTAACACAGTGACAACTTAGAGGTGAAGAGCCATGCTCTGATTTGAAAACAATGCACGAGAGACACTTACAGAGATGAAATGCAATCAATAAAAAGCCCTTGACATTCTTCCATATTGCAAAACAAAAAGTGTTTTTTCCAAAACAAAAATATAATGGATTTGTGCTAAGAAAAGAAGGATGTGGAGTTTTCAACTTTAAGGAAAACCATAAAAAAACCTTCATTTTCCCCCTTTCTTCCTTTATCTATTTTTTACAACTTTCTGTTGTGAATATTTTTATGACCAGGTCTAGAAGCAACTATCAAATCCCAAGCACAGTTAGAGAAACTTTACACTTTTTAAATGTAATGCTGACTTCATTGTTAACAATACATTTCTGCATTTGTTCGAAAAAACAGTGACTCCAGCAATTCAGTTGGAAAAGACTGTTGTTCCTGGTGCATAGTAGACTTTCTGGATGGGTCCCAAAGAACTACTGATCAAATTCCAAAAGCTGCTTATTATGGCTGATCTGGTGAAATCCCTGCCCGAAGCAGCAAGGCTGTAGACACTGAATAAACATTCATTCATCAGCTTTTGAGAAACACATGCAGACTCAGTTTTGTACCAGCCTGTAGTCTTTTCATACTCTGGATTGTAGCAAACTCCAATGATAAATATCTATTAATGTTAGTAATCTTAGTCTTTATTTTCTGTGAACACCTGATGCTGCAGAAGGTTCTAATGTCTAGAAATGCCTATAGTTCCTCACATTTAAGAAGAAATAAAAAGAATTTTAAGTACTAAACCAATATAATCTTCTAAGGACTTCACACAGGGAAAAAGAACATGATCCAGACACAGGCATACAACATGGATAGGTACTGCTTTATTCACAGCAATGGAATAAATTGTTCTACAGAGATAACACTCTTAATAGAGGCAGTTATTGCAACACTAAATCAAGGCTACATATTCTGAATATAGTCTTTGACTTGCTTAGTCCATGGTGAATGACTAATAATAAACCTCTGAAAATTTTTTATTAAAGGGTAAGACTAAAGCAGTTTCTAAACAAATTATTAAATAAAGTTTTAATTTTAATAGTATCCTCTATATTTTCCTCTTTTCTGGTAGGGAGAAGATATAATGAAGAAAGTCTTTTATGATACTCAGGGTAATAACTACCACTGGGGGAAAAAATAGAGAAGGTAAAGGAAATCCTTAGGTTGGAGTAACTGACTGTAGCTCTTGCTGTTCAAATTTGATCCTGTTTTCTTCATGATAAACATGAATATATAAGAGACAGAAAAGAACAGTGCAAATGGGAAATGCAGCCTGTCTCCTCCTTGGCTGTCAACACTGACTTCATCTGCAACTGTGCTGCTTGAGAAAGCCAAGCACTTAGGTTTTAGTTTCCCAGAGATCTGGAAAGATTTACCAGCACTGAGCTAAGGCAGTGATTTTGCTTTAACTTTGGGTCACAGGCTTGCAGATTTTTGCATGCCTGCAATCCTAGACAGCTAAGCCTAATGAAGTAAAAAAAAAAAGGGGTAGGACACAAATCTGGTAGAAAAGGAAACACAAAAGTTATTTCAGCAGGAATATACACCTCTTAGGTTTTTATTTCTAGCTTCAGCAGGTGAGAATATCATCTAGGTTCCTGTCAGGCTCAGTGTCCCTAGATCAGTGGATGGGAGGCCCCATGGCATTATCATGCAGGTGAGCACTGAGAAGACAGGAACTAAAGCAAGCTTGTCATCCCCAAAGAAAAGGTGTGTAATTTGGCTTTGTCCACTTCTTGAAGATCGGGCCTAGGTTCCAGCAGATTGGTTATGGTCATTGCACTTACACTTTGTTTTTCTCAGACATCGTCTTAACACCAGCTTTGATATGCTAGCTCATTAGCCTAACCTTAAATATTTTGCTGACTTTAAAAAATTTATTAAATAAGTGCAGATGTCGAGCATATAGGATGTTAAAACATACATGAAACGTCCATCAGAGCATATGAGAGGGCAACTGGAAATTTGGTTACCTTGGACAACTTTGAATATAGACTTCTCTACAGAATGACTAAAGGCCTGGCAAGTTCTGGCTTGCAATCAGTAAGCTGTAGTTTCTAATATTACACTACCAAAGGGATTCCGCAACTGTTTTGAAATTAGGGTGTGCCAAGAACAGAGAAGCGTAACACTTCACAGTTGAAGGTTTCCTGACACAAATAAATAGGTACAGAGAAGTAAGGAGTAAACACTGAAGCCTTTACTGTTATTCAATGAATCAGATTTTCCTTGAAGAAGCTGCTGATTCAGTGGACTCCAAATTGGGAAATATCTTTCAGTATAGGAATGTTTTAGATCCTTTCCAGTCAGGTTTTCTGAACAGTGTGCAGAGGAAGATGTTTCTAAGGTAGATGTTGATTAGTAACTATTCATTCTTTCATCAGAGACAATTAGTTGCCATCAAGAGCATTAAAAAAATTCACAGGATAAAGGACCATATCCAATGGAGAAGCATCCTACAAACTGTATTTGCCTTCTCCCTTCTGCACCTGCATGTTCTCCCCCCACTCTCCTGGCACTCCAGCTGCTTAGCTTTTCCTGGCAGCTTACAAATGTAATTGCTGTTTCTTTTTTTTTTTTTGCTGTTCACGAAGTTGAATAATGCTGAAACAACAAGCTTAGCATTTGGAAACCTGCATTTGAACCACCTCTGTGGTTTGAAAGGCTGCTGCAGTCTTTGTGGTTGGTTCACCTTTTTGCCTCTCTGAGCACCCTGCAGTCAGAGAAAAGCACACAGAAGAAAGAAAGAAAAAGAGCATTTCAGAGGCCACTTTTTTCCTCAACCGAAATGGAGAGACACCAAAGTTCCTCAGCATATCCCAGCCCACCCCAGTGTTCAGCTGGAGGGACCTCTGACAGCACCCTTGTTACACTCCCAGCTGCACGAGGGGTAGAGCAGTACTCAGTGTGGCAGGAGGCCTCCTGGGTGAGCCTCCTGGGTGAAACCCCCTGGAACCCAACCCATGACAGAACAGACTCCTGCTCATCCCTTGGTCTGTGAGGTGCTTCACAGTAATGCTAACAGTGCTGGGCATCAGCCAGTGAATCTGAGGAATTAAAGAAGGAAGAGTCTATGATTTTATTCATTACTGTTATTTAACCTACTCCTCTTATGACAGTCTATCATTAGACAAAACACTATTTATACAACAAAACACCACAAAGAACTAAAGCTTAAGAAGGGAGGAATGACAGTTATTGGAGCCAAGTGGAAAAGTTATACAGAAAAGTAATTTTTTAGGCTTCCATGAAGTTCATTATTTTTCCTTTTCTCCACATGAAAAGCTAGAATTAAAGACAACTGCCATGACCACCACTTGCTGTAATCAGTTATTTCACTCCATATTTCATTCTCCATATTTAAGTCTCCAGATTAGTTTTTGGAAATGCTTTTTTATTTACACTTTTAACTTGCCATTATTACCTTATAATACAACTAAATATGTAAATATCAGCAATATGCCAACTCTACCAGTTCAGTAATACAAACAAATAGCAAAATGTGTTTTCTGATGATATACCTTGAATTAAAATATTTTTAAAATAACACTTTACCTTTGCTGGGTGTTTCCACACTTTGAAGTGAATCCTATAAAGACAAAACCAGAGGGGAAAGAAGTAATCAGTTACTTCAGAAAAGACCAGGTAGCAGTTATAATGGTTATAGGAGCAGTGCTTGTGGAAAATAAGGTGAAAATGGGGAAGTACATATTTTATTGTTACAATGACAGAAGACATGACTGGGATTCACAGTAGCAGGACCTCCTTTATCCAGCTCTTCCATCTGCTTCCTCTACCATCCCAGAAAAGTCACTCAGGACCTGATTTCTGACAGCATTTGGGTATGCCACGATAAAAAGCACTTATCAACATCAGAGGTGCATACACATTTTCAGCCTCCGTGTTGGTATAACAGAGATGAGAATTCCCTCTCCATCCCTTTGCATGCCTTACGCACTCAGACATGAAGCCCAAACCATGCTGAGTGAGCAGAGCCTCAGCATCCTTACAAAGCTGAGGAGCAACACATCTCCACTCAAGTGCCCTTCATTTCACCTATATTCTTGTGCCAGATCAGCAAAAATATCTGTGCTCTTCAGGCCTTTGAGCAGGCAGCTGACCAAGGGCAGCCAACAAGAAATACTAGAGGTGGGGATTTAGGGGGTGTTTAGGCCCTTGGTACCTAAATACAGCTCTTGATGCCTAACATTAAATCAAAATCTAGATTCCCACCTCTCATATCCCACTGATGTCAGTAGGAACTTCTGTCTGCTTGTCTGCTGAAAGGTCAGGCCAGTTATTTAGACTGAACTGACCAGTCTAATTAAAGTTTTAGTTGTTTGGTTTGGTTTTTTTTGAATGCTGCTCTATTTAATCCCCAAGTACAATAACTGCCATCAATCAGACCTTGCTCTGGCCAAAATTAAATATTGTGACACTGCTTGTGCCTCCCTGTCCACAAGGGAAAAACTGTCATGGCAGGTAATTCTGCATCTCCTGGCAGCACCATCAGCCCTGGGGCCACAGGTGGGACCCAGCCTTGGCCCAAAGGCAAGTGTGGGCACAGCCTCCCCTGCCTGAGCACCAGCTGCTCGGTCTGCCCCGTCTTCACCCAGCTCTGACATGAGTCAGCAGTGCCCTGGCAGCCAGGAAGGCCAACTGTGTCCTGGGGGGCATCAGGCAAAGGGGATTGTCCTGCTCTGCTCTGGGGTGGCCTCACCTTGGATACTGTGTGCCACGATATAAGTTTGGGTGCCATGATATAAAAAAGATATAAAGTTACTAGGAAGTCCAAAGGAGGGCTCCAAAGATGGTGAATTCAGGGCCTCGAAGTGAAGCCATATGAGGAGCAACTGAGGGCACTTGGTCTGTTCAACCTGGAGGAGACTGAAGAGAGACCTCATTGCAGGTACAACTTCCTCGTGAGAGGCAGACACTGATCTCCTCTTTGTGGTGACCAGTGACAGGACCTGAGGGAGTGGCCTGAGATTGTGTCAGGGGGGGTTTAGGTTGGATATTAGAAAAAGGTTCTTCACCCAGAGGGTGGTTGGGCACTGGGACAGGCTCCCCAGGGAAAGTGGTCACAGCACCAAGCCTGACAGAGTTCAAGAAATGTTTGGACAACACTCTCAGGCACGTGGTATGACTCTTGTGGATGGTCCTGTGCAGGGCCAGGAGTCAGACACAATAATCCTTGTGGATCACTTCCAACTTATGATATTCTATAACCAGACCTGTATTTACCAAAGTGACACAGAAATAAGTTACTGAGTGACAAATCTTGACCAGAGAGATGAGAAAGTTAATTCTGTGTTTCAGCATTGCTCGTGGCTTTTGAACAGCTTTGCAGTGGGTTGAGAATGCTTCATGTTAGCACATATGTATTCAGCATGATGCTTCTTAAAAATTACACTGCATGCAGAGGTGGCATAAGAAATACAATGCTGGATGCACATTCTCCCTCTGGCACCCAGCTTGGAGCTGCAAGCATTTGTCTGGTAAATATGAACAGAAGAAGTCAAATGCTTACTTGAGGGGAGAAAAGCAACATCCAGGGCTGAGAATTATGTTTTCACAATTTTTATAATACAGGGAGACAAATGGGAACAGAGACCTTTGTTCAATTCTCTCAAATTTTGGAAAGTAAACAACCTTTTGGCACAGCACTTGTAATTTCAACATAATGTAGCCTGTTTAATATATAGTGGATTAGTGCTTGTTCTGGCAGGATTTGATCTCCTAGGACTTTCTGTGAGCTGCTGTAAAAATAGGAAGGGGAAAAAAAAGAAAGACAGATAAAAAACTTTAATTGTGCATCAGGCACAGAGTCTCCCCAGAACGGATTTTAAAATCCCAGGTTAGGTTGGTTAGAGACCGAATGAATCATATTTATAAAGAGATGCAATCAGTTAAGAAGAAACTATCACTGGTGCCAGTTGCTTTCATAATCTCTTAACCATGGTACAGGAATGCACAGCACTGGCAGTGAGGAGGCAGTAAGTACAATTTAATTACACACAGAAGATTGAAAGTAAGTTTCTTTGTTTTCCTTTTTTTTTTTTTCCCCATAAAACCAGAATTAAATAGAAGCACATTGAAATTTCTTTCCAAGTATGCAAGCACACATGTACAGATACGTATAAACAAACACATGCTGGTACCCTACATAATTTACATTGGAAGAATTAAGCAGTGGTTTCCCTGAGGCATTATGTGCACACGTGCCAAATGGATGTGTTAAAAAGTATTCCACGCAAAACCACACCATATATTACCCTAAAGCATCAGGAAACCATGGCGAAAAAGCAATTAGAATTTTTTTTTGGCATTTCTCCTTTACGTGATGTGCAATGCTGCAGCATTTGGAATGTAACAGGTAACCTCAAAAATGTCACTTAACTTGTGGTGCAAGTTACCTGCTTGCCTGAAAAAAAGCCTCTCTTCTACCTAAAAAAGTGTTTTGGTACTATGTTGATGGACATAACAGAAACAATTCAAGCAATCTGACAAGATATATTAATATTGCAACATTTAATAATTTTGTCAGTGCCCATATTCACATACCTTGACCCTAAAATTCACTACGAGTTTAACTCAAAAAGAGGTTTGGAGAAGTTGTACTCCATCAAACAACTAAGTACTAATTTTGACTACATATGTTGCTACAGACAGGAAATCTGGTCAATTGTCTTTGGATAAATACTGATAAATATAGATACAATCTGATTTGTTACACTTATGTTCTATCCTATACATGAGATAGTTGCATATAATGTGTAACCTCTATTTTCATCAAATGGAGGTGTTCAAGTTACAAAACATGCAGAAACATACTTTACTGCTTTCACGACATTTATAGTTCAGTTTCTGAGAAAGATGAAGTTCCTTATAGACTCAAACCTGAACATTTTCTAGATTGCTGCAGCCTAATTGACTGTCCTAGCAGCTATTTCTCAGAGGAGTAAAAGGCAAGCAGCAGCAACAGTTTGCTGGTGCAGGAGTAGTTGAACTTTCTTTTTTATCCCCCTGCACTCGTTTGAAGCCAGTTGTTAGTCAAGTCTGGTTCAGCAAAGAGGGAGTAAAAGGGAACAGCGTGTCAGTAAAGGTCACAGGTAGCTTTTACAGGAAGGTTTCAAGGGAGAGACAACCAGTTCAACTAACCAAGCCTGAAAGGCAATGTTAAGGGAACAAAACCTCAGTAACTTAAAAACTCTAAAACTTGAGTAACAATCTAGTCAGTAGTCTTCAAGAGAAATATAGAGCAGCTTCTTACTGAATATTAAGACAGAAAAATATTTTAAGAATATTCAATCAGGACACAATCTTTTTAACATTCACAAGAGGGTATTCAGGAACAGTACCATTTTGCTCATTACAGAGAAGGAAACAGCATCATTATGATCACCACTACCACCACTTATCATTTTAGCCTCTGAAGATCACAGCCAGGACCAGCACTCTGCTGTGCTGGAGACTCTACACATAGAGAAGGAGAGTTGTTCCTTGCTCTGAAGGGCTTATAATCTAAATAGGGGAAACAGAAAAAGGAAAGTGTATTACTCCCTCTGTGCAGGGAAGTACATGAAGTTGGTTCAGCAGAACCTGTATATATTGGAGACTGTGTATACAGTGGAGTTGGAAATTTGACATGTGCTGGAGAATGAGTAACAGCAAAAGGGGAACACAGAGCAGGGCTTTTTGTTTGTTTGTTCTTATAACAGGATAGATAAGCTCACAATACAATTATTTGCCAAGTAGCAATCACTTCATCTCTAAAATAATGCTGAATAACACTGATTCTGAAGACAATCAGATGAAACCATGAACAACAGAAACCTTACACTTGAAAAAGATGACCTGTACTCTTTGGTTTTTACTGCATTATCTTATTCTTCATGACATGACATGGGGTTTTCTGACTGATTTGGATCTTTGACCACTGTATCTATTTCTCTGCTCAAATTCAGAGAAGATGGGGCTGAAAATGGACTCAGGGATATGCAATAAATATAAGCCAGTCATAGGAGGCAGTTTACACTTTGAGTTCACAGAGCTAACCTAAACACTCAAAGAGAAAATACACTAAATTTTTCTTACTCCATCAAACAACTAAGTAGTAATTTTGACTACATATGTTGCTACAGACAGAAATCTGGTCAACTGTCTTTGATAAATACTGATAAATATAGATACAATCTGATTTGTTACAGCTTATGTTCTATCCTATACATGAGATAATTGCATATAATGTGTAACCTCTATTTTCATCAAATGGAGGTGTTCAAGTTACAAAACATGCAGAAACATACTTTACTGCTTTCACGACATTTATAGTTCAGTTTCTGAGAAAGATGAAGTTCCTTATAGACTCAAACCTGAACATTTTCTAGATTGCTGCAGCCTAATTGACTGTCCTAGCAGCTATTTCTCAGAGGAGTAAAAGGCAAGCAGCAGCAACAGTTTGCTGGTGCAGGAGTAGTTGAACTTTCTTTTTTATCCCCCTGCACTCGTTTGAAGCCAGTTGTTAGTCAAGTCTGGTTCAGCAAAGAGGGAGTAAAAGGGAACAGCGTGTCAGTAAAGGTCACAGGTAGCTTTTACAGGAAGGTTTCAAGGGAGAGACAACCAGTTCAACTAACCAAGCCTGAAAGGCAATGTTAAGGGAACAAAACCTCAGTAACTTAAAAACTCTAAAAATTGAGTAACAATCTAGTCAGTAGTCTTCAAGAGAAATATAGAGCAGCTTCTTACTGAATATTAAGACAGAAAAATATTTTAAGAATATTCAATCAGGACACAATCTTTTTAACATTCACAAGAGGGTATTCAGGAACAGTACCATTTTGCTCATTACAGAGAAGCAAACAGCATCATTATGATCACCACTACCACCACTTATCATTTTAGCCTCTGGAGATCACAGCTAGGACCAGCACTCTGCTGTGCTGGAGACTTCTAATAACTGAATGCTGAAGCAGACATGAAAAGATTTAGGAAGTACTACAGAAACAAGACTTACAGTAAGTCATGACCTAGAAGGGAAGCAAGAGAAGACATTTAAGTGAATCAGCTGGTCAGGTCTGAAGAACAAACCAAAAACCTCTAAAGCTATGTTGTTTCTTGAAGCTTGGTCCTTCAGAACACTTGCCAACCTTCGCAGAGACAGCACCCATATCACCAACACCAGAAGGCCTCAGCTGGTTCTGCCCAGGGACATGCAGCATCAGCTCTACGGAATCTGTGTCCTCTGCTCCAGAAACATGGTGCAGGGACTTACCTACAATTTACCTACACCCAGACACTGATGCTGTAGAGGCTATCTGCTTGGGTCCTGTGCTTAAGATTGGAAGCTGTTCCCTCCCCCTGACTCCATCTCAGAGGAATAAACAGATGCTAAAAATGCAGAGATTTAAGAAAAGATGTTTTCTGAACATCACTGGAGCCTTTTCAACTAATATAATTTCTGCTCTTTGGGAAATCTTTTCACCTCTCAGGAAGAAGTTATTCTCTGTATGATGATGAGTATTTGAGGGTTTGAACCTGCTAAGAGTAAGTGTAGATAGATGACAGTATAGAATTGATTTGATATGTATCACTCCTACGGCCCAAGAAATGTTGTAAAAAGAATGACACTAATTTTTTCCAGTCTTACTGCATATCAGGCATAATCAAATTCCACTTATTTAGCTAGATATATTTCCAATTAACTCTCATTAGTTAATTCAGTTAATGCTAATTATCCCATTGTTTACTTCGCTGTCATAGGTGTTCTTACACGTATCACAAGCCAGGAGAAAAAAAGAAAACAAAATCAAAACCAACAAATACTAAAGAAAAAGAATAAAAGTTTTGTAAGGAGGTAATGTTCTGAACCAAAACATCCCATCTAGTTTGGCATGTCTTTCTAAACAGTATTTGCTGTGAGAAAGAATGACATAAGGCCATACAAGGAAAGAAGAAAATTTCTTAGTAACTTCTTAATCTTTTTTTAAAAGTGTGAAGAGGGAATTTCATTACAGTTTGAAAGAATTAACATGACTTATGATTACACCAGACTAAATCCAAGTGATTAATGGCTTGATTTTCAAATTTGCTGAGCACCTGCATCTTCAAGATGCTGACTTCAAAAGAATTTTTGGGTGCTCAGAACTTGTGTAAATCAGGCCATAGTGACTTGTCCAAGGTCATACCAAAGCAGCTGATGATGATGAAACTGAGAACAGATACTGCCCTCCAAAGTCCCAGTTCATAAACTGGAATAAACAGGAACATTCCAGAAACTCCTGGAAAACCCATTTTTGTGTTTTAAGAGTATTTCTGCTAAAATCAGGAATGCACGATGCTATTCCTTCTCTGCATAAACAGCAGAAACATTTCAATCTGAAAAAACCTCAAAATTCAAGTGACACTTACAGGAAAAAAAAGTTTGGGGGATATTTTTAATTTTGTTAGCAACTTATATTAAAATATAAAAATCTAATATTTTGAAATCATGATTTGGTAAATAGGTGATGTGGCAAGGCAGAGATTTATATGTTCAGTAGGAACTAGAAAGAAGAACCAGAGGAGAATATCAGTTACAGTTAAACACAAAATAAGTCTTCTGTTGCTCTCGTGTCACACATTGTCAACATTCTTTTCTTTCTTTGTAGTGCCTCTTACCTAATTTTTGTCAAAGGTAAAACACACAGTGAGACAGTAAAGTGGACTTGATCAATCAAAAAATTAGTGACACCCATTCAAGTTTCAGTTTTAAGGAATAAAAACAGGACATCAACATGCTTCTTTTACCTGTGCTTTCACAAGTGGCAATGCACGGAGTTTCTTGACTGCATCAGTTATGTCTCTGGTTTCCACAAAGCAGAGGACACTGCAGATTGCTTTAGCTGCTTCAATCACATTATCAACTTTATGCTATTGACAGAAAAGAAAGGGAAAAAAAAAAAAAAAGGCAAACAGTAAACTGCTAGCATTTATCAGAGATGCCTAACCATAAAATTTATGCCAGTGAGTGTGTAGAAAACTGTATCTGCTCAAGCAAAATTCAAATACACCATGCATTAGTCTGGCTACACTGAAATCACCAGTGACCAACAGTTTCCTAAGGAGACTGTAATTTTTGTTGAAGTCAAATTATTTTCCACAAAACGTGTCTTGTTGAAAACTGCAACAAATTTGGTATTAAAGCCTGATTTGAAGGCCAAAACACTGGTTTGTCTGAACATCATGAGTGTAGAAGCACTGTAAAGAAACTTCTGAGGAAGCCTGAACACAAGTTATTCAAGCATTCTGAGGTTTTATGATTCTGTGAATTTATCCTCACTATTGTCTCCTACCCATCTCTGTGAGAGTTGGAAAACAGCCATGTTCCTCCTAAAAATAGTGACTGTGTGGGAGACTGCATAATCTGACACCTGTGGACTGAGTACTTCTGCAACCAGCTTTCTGCAAAAATATACATATAGTTAAAACTATTAAATCCTATTGATCATAAATTGAGACCTTTAAATATTACTATATGAAAAAATCTCTAGAAGAATAATCTTAGAAATACCTTGGGGAATTCAAGGAAAAAAAATTTGGATCCCAAAGGAAGGAAAATGCAATCTTCAAATATCAAGTACTCTATGTTCAGGAAAATAAATAAAGAAATAAAAATTCATGGGTTTCCTGTACAGTTATATCACTTCATTAAACCTTAAAATACATTCTCTGAACACACAGAAGCTCTCCTATAAATATTCTCCATGTTTCTGTACTGATAAATGTTCCTTAGTGCACTACAGCATGTCTATGTACCAATAAAACCATTTCTCTAACTCATCCGTTTCATGCCTGAAAAACTGTACCAAGATGAACTTTCTGGTTTCAAGCTTAAGGTTTATGTGCAGACTGTACTGAGAAGGCTAACACCTGTCATTACCACAAATAAATCTAAAAATATATTGAGGTTACTAATTCCACGTTATCTGCCTCAAGCAGAACTAAAGCAGGAATTAATTACATAAAATATCCTCAAATATTTGGTGATCAGATTCTTTTAAATATAAGTCATTGTTTTTTTAGTAATTAAGGACAGCAATGCCTTTTCATACTACAGGTTCTAGAGAGGAAAAGGCTATGGCTGACTGTGATCTCTTGAGAACTTCGGACTCGCCTTTGGTTGACTGTTCTACCAACTTACCAAGAGGACATTTCCTTTCTTTTTTATTTCTTTCTTACCACATACATTTTCCTAATTGAACTCTTGCAGGATTTACTCTCTGTGCACGCATATATTGCCAGCTGAAGTAGAAACCCATAAAAATGGCATGGCTTTGCTACTCTGTGTAACACTGACAAACCCAAAGCATTATACATGCTGGTTTATCTGAGTTGTTGAAGAAATGAGTGCCAGTCAATCTATCTATTTAAACACATGTACATATATATATTTAATTACAGTATATACAGTTTGTAATGAATATTACATATAATTCTAAATTAGCATTTAATTTAAATACATTTTAATTTAGCATTTTTCTTCTTCACAGGTGGGTATGGATTATTAGAACAAGGGATTTTATGCCCGTAAATACATTTATGCAGGGCAATTTCTGAGCAGTACACAAGCAATGGACATACACAAAGTAATCCCTGAGTAGAGAAACAGCTCTCTGGATAGAGAAAAACAAAAAAAAAAAATTAAACCAAACCCACAATTTATATATTTTTGTACATATATATATACGATTCCATAAAGAGGGCTGGTTATCTTGAGGGATGCATCAATTTCTGTTTAATATGCTATTCCCTTTATAGATAAATTATCAAGGACTTAATATTTATACAAGATAGTATTCTACACACATTGTTTTTATGGTAGGTATTTCTACAGAGTATACTGCAGATGAAGGAGAGTAAACATATTTAAAAAATTATATAATACTGTATAATATGAATGATGACTTCTTTCACACTGTTTCTCTGCTGGGACATTATCATGCAAAGAGTTTTCCTTTTTCATATGTAGAGTAGGACATCGATTTCTGTCCCAAGGAAGGGAAGACAGAGATTAATTTCTTACAGAAGTTTCACATCTTCTGAAGTTCCAATTACAGTCAACAATTCGTAATTTTTCTTTTTTTGCCCCAACATATTTAAATACCAGCAGAACCTTAGAAAGATATTTTGGTGTTTCAATTATTTATACGATTAAAAAAATGTTACTTCATTCTAGAACTTCTACGTTCTGTATAAAAAATTTACAAAGTCTGTGCTACAGCAATAGTACATTCTGAATAGCTTTGGAAATGAAGTGCATGTCAAGTGGTTATCAGGGCATTAAAATGGTTGGTTGGTTGGGAACACTCTTTACATTTCAACCGTAACAGCACCAATCCCCTCCCTGTGCCAAATACCTTAATTTTTGTTTTATGGAGGCATTATCCATCTTAAAATGAATTTTCCATTTATTTACCATTATTAATAATGACAGTGGGTTTGTCACGTAATTCAGAAGTATTGGTGTCTCCAAGTCTTTCAACACGTAAATTCAGAAATATGCAGATAAATGTGCAAAATACTGTTGATTTGGTTTTTTAACTGAGAATCTCAAGATCTGTCTGATTAAAACCAATGCTTAAGGAACTTCCAGCTGAGTACAGAACTTCAGTAGGTATGTGTGTGCTTAATTTGGTGCTTGTGAGTAACTCCCACTGGCTTAAATTTCAGTGTGTGCTGAGGGCGGATTGTGGTGAATCAGAGAAGGGTAACAACCCCCCCAGTGATGTGAGTGATGCTTTAAAAATCGACATAACTGCTCCTGCGCACCCTTGGGATATGGGGCAGTTAAAAGATCAGAATTTTAAACCTTCTTCAAGGGATCTAGTAAGAAGTTAGAGAAAATAAATAAACAAGGATTCAAAGACCAAAAAAAAGGGCGCTCATTTTTTGCTTTCTTTACTACGTATTTGTAAGTTGTTACATTACAGCTCCATAATTTTTTAGCCACTTATTAAATCAAATCAATAACACTTGCTCTAATTATTGCAGGTTTGAAAAAGCTCCATATGCTGATGCCTCTGAACGAAAACATCTGCATGGTGATCTGACCCATATAATTAATTTGCAATACTTGCTCTTTTAAGCAATTCATATGAACTTTATTGAGTGTCCCAGAGTAGGCAAGACCTTATTAAAAAAATGAGCTGCAGAGAAATTTAGCTCTAGACACACACATATTTGTTGGATAGTATGAATATTTGAAAAATGTACTTCCTTCCCTTTATAAAAAGTTAATGATCTCAAGAAATTGCTTACTCAAGGTGAAAATCTTTAGGAAAAACAAAATTGAGAGTGCTTCATTATAGGTCTGAGGAATATCTACACAGCGTCAGCTGCAGAGGGTGGATTGCAAAGTCTCATTAACGTTGAGGTTACTGCCTTCTTTGAATTTAGAATCTTCTTACTTTAGGCCCTAAAATTTCAAGTGTATGTAAATAATTACCCTGATGGGTCTGCTTCAGTAAGGAAATATATATGCACATTTGAGCTTGGGGACCTCAATTTTCCAAATGGTTATGGCTGCATCACATTTTATACACTAAACACTCTCCTTTGAGACGTTGCTTACAAAGGAAAATTCAGTGGATACCTACACAGTTATCAGACCCAGAGCTTTACTTTGTAGCAAGGCACATTTCAAAAGCTTCTGAATTTGCATGCATTTTGAAAAAGTATCAAAGATTTACATAAAAATATAGAATTTTTTAATGTCTATATATTTAGTTACACACTTATTGATATATATTTATGTATTCATGTACACGTGCATTCATATATATATGCATGTATACATACATTTGTATGCAAGTGTACGTTTTCTGACTATTCAAAATAGAAATACCCATGGATCAAGAATATCCAGACAGATTAAAATCTGGACTTAAATATCAGTGACACAGTTCTTAAAAAAAAAAAAAAAAAAAAAAAAAAAAAAAAAAGATTTTACGTTTTAACATACATTTCAAAGAAATCCATAATTTAGCATAATGAGTTACAACTCTGCAAGGGATGCCCTGGAATATCTCTCTGCTCCATCAGTATTTTCTGATTTTACCGACATCTTTTGTTTTCTTTCTGGTTTTAAACCCTTGAAAGTCAGTTATAATGACAATCTGAAATTCAGATCAAATAACCATGTGGTTTCTTCCAAGGTATGACTCAATCTTTCCTTTAGACATTTGTCCTTAAAACACTGCTTAGCAGAGAAGATTTATTGAGAGATTTTTCCTTTAAGGATGTAGCACTCAATTGGCAGCCCACAATGCTTTAAAATAAAAGCTCTTGGGAGATTTTATACCTAAACCTAAATCTTCAAAGTATCACATGCTTGCATACATATCCTAAATTTGTAAACATTAAGCTTGTGGGCTTGAAAATCAGGGACAAATTTTGCAGATACATATAAAGTATTATACCTCTACTATTTTCAAATATTATTCTGTCAACTCAAATGATCCTGGTTTTATTTATAGGTTCCTTGATACTTAGAAATAGTCACCTTTGGTATTTTAAATTTGTAGCACCTTCTTCCTAACTTCAAGCCAAGTTTTATTAAGAGAATTTATATTCTTTCAAAGTTGGATTAAACAGCCTTAATTAAAAGTCTTTCTTAATTGCATCTGAGACTGATTAATAATTAGATACCTTTCACATAGAAGTTAATGCTTTTCTGGTATAACAAACTGAGAACAAATACCTTATTTTGCAACAGATATTCCACTTGACCTCTGTAGTTCATAATAACAGAGAAAAGGTTCTGCCTGGAAAACAGAAAAAAACCCAACATCAAGTTAATAACGATTAGGTAAAGAGAACAGGTTTGGGTCTTTTTTCCTTTTTTTTTTTTTTTTTCTTTCACATTCTGTAAGTATGGAATAGCTTAATTGATGGTGGTTTTATGTTGGTATAAAATAAGGACAAGTGTGTACATAGACATCATGTAATTGAGCCTGGATCTTCATGTTTTTTAGGTAGTTATTTGCCACAAAGAATAGATGCAAAAAATCTGTCTATACATGGAGGATACAAGTTTCCCAAGTTAAAGAACTCCAAGAAGTGATTTGCTATTTCAGCATCTACCGAACTTCATGTCCCATTTATTTTACTCTTTAAGGTTAAGCAAATGCTTAAATACTACCTTGAAGAAGGATGGACTTAAGTATTTGGTACTTTCTTACGGTTAGACTTGATGATTTTAAAGATCTTTTCCAACTTAAATCATTTTATGATTCTTTTTCAATCACTTCACAGACTAAAGTTGCTGAGAATCAGTTAAAAAATCTGCAAAACACCTGGAAAAGCTCTACATTTCAAAAGTCCATGCCAAGTCACAAGTATAAAAGTGGGTGTCATAAAAAGGGAAACCATTGCTACACAGTCCACTAAACTTTATTTGCATACAGTTCTCACATTTACGTTCTCAAACTGCTTCAGCAACTGCCCTTTTCCTTAGCCTTACTTAAGCTGTGAAATTGTTTTACTTCTGTAGACAGACATCTGCCAATCCATGGTTCCATGCCTTTGTCATGTTACGCATGAAATTACCACAAAGTTTGTACAAGCAGATTGCTGTGTCTTAGCAAAGCTTCACTAAATTAATTAGGATTATGAAGAGGAGCATACATCTTCTACACTGAACTCCAGGACTGATGCTTCAGCTGTAAATCTCACCATTTCAGAGCCACAGGCTCCAAGTGCTATCATCAACAGATAACCAGAATCAGAGTTTTGCTTTCAGGAAGCATATATGTATCTGTATATGTTTCAACATATAGCATATATGTTTCAAGCATTGTGAAATTCTAGCTGTCAATTATTTTTCAGCTGGAACAAAACAAAAGATAGTACCTGTGAGATAAAGCTAATGTCTCACTCACAGATGTATTTCTGTGTCAGCCTCCTCTCTAGGGTCAAATCATCAGGAAAGGATATGGAAACTTTAATTCCCACTTTTACACCCTGCCTACCCTACTGATATCAGTGGTAAAACGGACATGTTATTGCCTTGATGGTCATCAGAGGTAGTTCAGGTTTGCACATGCTTTCATAAAAAATGGGAATCGTAATTCGCCTTCAATTGCAATTAAACAATTAAACTACATTCAGTTGCAATTATTGCAGAAAGCATTATTTGTTTTACTCAATCACTTTATTCTTGACTTTTTTCCCTTCCTATATACCGCACTCATCTTCTGTTAGGGTTCTCCCTCCTCAGAAAGCTTAGAAGGAATTTCCCCCCCCCCACATACTCTCCTACCCCCATTGCAGTCTGGTAGCTGAAAGTCACAGTAGCGTTTTCATTTCTTCAGAGCAAATGGACTATTGTTTACAGAGAAATTGTGTGTGCCCTCATGTATCTCAGCTGGGCTGAGAAATCAGAGATTAGGGTTGCCACCACGGCCTTAAAGTACAGTTTTCAAGGTACATGATTAGACTTTCATTATCTATATTGCAGGACAAGGAGAATCACTGCACTGAAATAATCATAGAGAAATGTTAGGTGGCCTTTCCTGGGCCAATACCATAGTGCATTTCCCTGCAGACACTACTATTCACTTCTTCCTACAGGTAGTTCTGCCTTTACAGCTTTTTCATTTCCAACTTGAAATAGCTTTATCTGGCCAGGCAGTGTGTGTGGAGTAGCTGCCTGGCAATTCCTCCTGTAATCCTGTTAAATCACAGCAAATACAAGTTGTCGCTCTGCTTTGACCAAATCTCCAGGCAACATCTTTTCCATATCACTGTCCAGCTTGAAAGTAGTTCTGAACATATGAGCTTGCCTTGTTGATTTTTACATCCAGGTAAGCATGTTTATTAACAAACATTGCCTAAATGCAGGTTACAGAATAATTTCATAAGTTATATTGATAGTTTAAAAAAGTAGCATATTTGCCATCAGTTTATTCTTCCCTAGAGAATTCTCTGTATAAAGTAGCCATAATTTTACATAATTATTAGGAAACAAATCCAGTAACTTACAATGATTGAAGTACTGCTACTAATGCTATCCTGAATATCTTTGTCTGCTAGATAACTAATAACACCTGTGTGTTATCACACAGACATACTTCCTATTTTTACATCTTTGATAGCTGTGTATATATATGGCAATACTAACCCAGGAACATTTGATGTTGAGGACAGTTTTTAGCAAGGCAATAGTCTTCAACAGAAAAGAAATAAGAAAAGCACAAACAACTTAAGAGTCAATCTCAGATCCCAGCTAGCCTACATGGGAGGAGGATGACAAGTACATATCATACACTTACAGCATTCACTTCTCAGTTCCCTGGCAGCAGCATCACTGAAGAAATGTTAGGTTCCCTTTCTAAAATGTCTATCACCACGCTGCCTAATAAAGCATGGCCAGGCCTAGATTGTTGTGGTGGATGGAGTTATGTCCAGTTGGCAGCTGGTCACACGTGGTGTTCCTCAGGGTTCAGTACTGGAGCCAGTTCAATGACTGATATCTTTATCAGTCATTTGGACAAGGGGATCAAGGCACCCTCAGCAAATTTACAGATGACACCAAGTTGGGTGGGAGTGTTGATCTGCTGGAGGCTGGGAAGGCTCTGTAGAGGGATCTGGACAGGCTGGATTGATGGTCCAAGGCCAATTGCATGAGGTTCAACAAGACCAAGTTCCAGGTCCTGCCCTTGGGTGACAACAATCCCATGGAGCACTACAGGCTGGGGGCAGAGTGGCTGGAAAGTGGCACAGCAGAAAAGGACCTGAGGGTGCTGGTTGACAGCAGCTGATCATGAGCCAGCAGTGTGTCCAGGTGGCCAAGAAGACCAGTGACATCCTGGTTTGTACGTGCAATACTGTGGCCAGTAGGACTAGGTAAACAATTGCCCCCCTGTACTCAGCACTGGTGAGGCCTCAGCTCGAATCCTGTGTTCAGTTTTGGGCTCCTCACTACAAGAAAGTCACTGAGGTGTTAGAGCATGTCCAGAGAAGGGCAATGGAGTTGGTGAAGGGTCTGGAGTACAAGTGTTACAAGGAGTAGCTGAGGGAGATGGGATTGTTTAGCTTGGAGAAAAATAGGCTCAGGGGGACCTACAGTAAGTGATCCTGTTCTGCAGACATTTTCTGTGGTCCTAAATTTCATAGACTTGTCACCTGTAAAATACTCAACTTCTATTGATCTCTTTATAGCAAGGACCAGAATGGGAATTTGGGCTCCAGTCCTAGGAAACCAGATGGGTCCTCAGTAAGCACCAGGTACCTTGAACAAGTCACTACCTCTATGTTTTCCTCCATCTGCTAAATGCCAGGTGTGGCGTTTACCATTGCTGGCAACGTACTTTATATCACATTGATGAAAAACATCACAAAAAGTGTTAACAACTTCTTTATCTCACAGCATAAAACAGAATATAATGAAAGTTGAATGAGGAATCTCTCATTTAGTGCTTGTCTACCACAGATTAGCTTTAGAGTCAGATGCATTTTGATGCCAAGTTAAAAGCTTGTCATAGCTAATGTCCATTAAAAAAATAAAATTAAACAATCAAATTTTAGATCACTCAACTGTGAAAATAAAGGCCTAATGAAGAGCAAACCTGTTATTTTTACAGTATTTATTCTCAAAAATTATGACAGCTTCAATCATGGGAATCTTTGGGAAACATGAAATCTCTGATGAAACCTTCAGTGATACGAAAGGAAAAGCATGAGGAAAAATTACACAGATCTAAAAGAGATTATTGATTTTTGCTAAATAATCACTAAGGTCTCAAAATAAGAGTCTAAAATATTGATACAATTGTCTTTTTCTTTGGTATCATTCCCATCCCCAGTAGTTCTGGAATTGTCCTTTGGGGCAAGGAGGTTCATTGCAAATACAAACAATAGCAAACACAAATACTGCTAAATACCAGCTTACCGAGTCAGTCTCATGGCACACGTGTCTCTTAACAGCTGATTCATACAGAACCTTCTTTGGTCATCCTCACACTGTGGAAGAGAGGTATACAGTGAGATATACATTCTGATAAGAAGAATGTATGCTGGAGAGATTTGCACTGTATTTTCCAAAGTCAGTATGTTCTTAAATATGTTCAGAATGTTTTGATCTGAAATGTTATTTAGTGAATGTCTTATCTTACACTGGGAGGTCTTATATAGGTACCAGTGGGGGTAAGAGTGTTCAGGAAAGGAAGCAAGCTGGACTTAGCTTAGTAGAGTTTCAAATTACATTCAGCAAGGGAACAGGATGTACTTGAATCCAGGCAGGGCAAGTGAAGACAGCAGCATATTCCACTGCCCCATCTACCTGGGAGTCATAAAAAAGGCAGTCAACATTGCCTACAGCATGCATCAGTTCTGTTTTGATTTCATACAGTGGTGGGCCAGGGGGAGAGATGAGGTAGAGGTCTCCTCTTGCAGAGGTAGAGAAGAGCTACGAGGGGAAACTTGACCCTGGGGAGTGAGAGGCTTTCCTTCTCGAGGGAACTGGACATTTATTCAACCAGCTTTTGTTGTGCCAGAAAGTAAAAAGGATTTTATTATGTATATCAGTAGAAAATTGAGACCACAGGAAAACATTGAACTCATGCTTGATGAAGATGGCCCTCTGGCAAATGGGCATGCAGAAAGAGCAGAGGCATTCAGTGCTTTTTCTGTCTTAGTCTTTCATACTGGTGATAATCCCTGGGCTCTCTGTCCTCTGAGCTGGAGGAGCACAACTGTGGCAACAGTGGCTTTCCCTTCGTGGACACAGAAATTTTAGGGGACCAGCTGCATCACTCAAATGTTCCTAAGTTCATGAGGCCTTGGTGGGATTCATCCCACAGTACTAAAGGAGATAGCAGATTTTATGGCAGTACCCAAGGTACCCAAGACAGAGGTCTTAGGAATCTAGGGAGCTCCCCACTGAGTGGAAGCTAATAAACATTATTCCAGTTTATAAGAAGGGCACAAGGAAATGGAATGGAATACAGTGAAATACAAGGGAGGAGAACAAAGGAGAGAATATATAGTTCATTCGGTAGGGATCTAGAATGATAATCTAGTCCAAGTGATGTGTTGTGACATCACCAATTACTTACCCAGTTGGATGATGCATCTACCTAGCAATGGATTATGACATCACAAATGACCCAGAATCCCTCGCTTCTTAAATGAGCTCATGCCCTGAACTCAAGCTGAGTAAATTTGTGAGGTTTGGAGTGGCAGGTGAGACCTTTGGTGCTGGTACTCATCTCTGGGAGTTGCTCCTTGCAGTTCTTGATGCTGTTGGAGGATTTTTCCCAGACTTGGCACGTTCAGGCTGTGGGGGCACCCAGGAGACAAGCTTACAGCAGTAGAGGTGGGCTAGGAGGGGAAACACCACCCTGGGCAGCTGGGAGGCTTTCCTTCTTGAAGGATCTGTGTATTTCTTCCACTGCTCCCCAGGCCAGCCTCTCTCCCTTTGCTTGTGTGACACCCGCTGCTGCAGCGCTGGTGAGAGGGAGCAGCTCGACACCCCAAGCGAGCCCGAGTGCCCCTCCTGCCAGACAATCTCCATCACTTTGCACATCTCTCTTGGCAGCACATGGCGTCAGGTGCCAAAGAAGATATGGAGGAGAGCAGCTGTGTTGACAGCGGTGGCAGCCTGAGCCAGTCACCCCAGGCAGGACCTATGGAGGCAGCAGAAGACTCCCGGTGCCCCATCTGCCTGGGGCCCATGAAGAAGCCAGCCTACGTGACCTACTGCATGCACCAGTTCTGCTTTTGGTGCATCCGGCGGTGGGCCACGGGGAGAGACAACTGCCCCGTGTGCAGGCAGCCCATGGAGAAGCTGCTGCACTCAGTGCGAGGGGACGGCGACTACGAGGAGTGCGAGATTGGCCTGCCCGCCCGCCTGCAGAGGATGATGGCCATGGAGTGGGGCCTCCAGGCACTCCCCACAGGGATGCTACAAACAGCACAGGTGGCCCACGACCAACAGCCCTTGGCTGGCAGAAGAGGCTTCCCGGGGGCTGAGAGTGCCCAGAGGCAGGATGCAGCTCCAGGGCCCTCCAATGACCCTTCCCAGCAGGCTCCTACATCCAGTGCTTCCGATGAGACAGCCCCACTGAGGGCAGGCGAGTGTCCAGGTGGCCCTGTTGCTCCCCTGGACCCACACAATGGCACTGAGTAGCTTCGGCCCCTCAGCATCCCCCCTCTCCTGCACCCAATAAACAGCATGGTTCTTTCCAGCACATCTGTGTGTTATGACCAAAGAATGTTTCTTAGTCCACAAGGCCTTGGTGGGATTCATTCCAGAGTGCTAAAGGAGCTGGTGGATCTTACGGCAGGATCCCCTCAGTCCTCTAGCAAAGGCCTTGGGAGTCCAGGAAGGTCCCTGCTGACTGGAAGCTAGACGATGTTATTCCAATTTACAAGAAGGGCACAAGGGAATGGGATGGAATACAACAGAGGGAAGAGGACAAGAGAAGGGAGAGGGAGAAGCAGACAGGAAGAAGGGGAGGAGAATGTAGTTCAGTTGGTCAGGATTTACAATTTTCGTCTAGTCCAACTAGCTCACCTCTTCAGGGCTGACCAAGGATTAAAGTCCACTATGAAGGGCTTGTTCAAGTGCTTCTTTCTAAGGGACTGATAATCAGGAAGCATCGACCACCTTTCTGGGAACCCATTTCTGGTGTTTGAGCACCCACTCTGTAAATAATCATGTGTGTGTGATTGATAGGAGCCAAAGAGGATGTGACAGACTGCAGCAACAGGGTATATGTGAATTATTTATCTGAATACATATGGTTGATTATTATATACAAGAGTGACAAGATTTTCATAGGTTTCTATGACACTAGTTAAACTACACCCTTAGTGGAGATTTCTATAATCTAACATAGTTCATATTTCAAAATTTAGAAGGACCATATAGATCACAGGTCAAATTTTCCCCAAGAGTAAGTGCACATTATATCACAAAAATAAACAGTAGTGCATAACTGTCTGAGATAGCTGAAGAATCTTAAGAATCTTGAAGGGTTTTTTGTTTTTTAAAAGAACATTTTTTACACATCTTTTTTTATGAACTCTGTTTATTTTCCAGAACCTGACTCTAAGTCTGTGGCTTTCCAGTGTTCTGTGGCCAAAGGCACGTTTTAGATAACAGCAACAACAAAATTAACTGTGAGCTCAGTATAGACTATGTCAGAGTCTTGATTTCAGTGTGACTGGAGCAGGATTCAGTAGAGCTGATGCAATCTATAGAACTGGGTCCAGAGCGAAATAAATACTGTGGCTTTCAATGCACCATATCTGTCTCCTCTGTTAGGTTTTTTCCTGGTCCTGATAGACTAACTGGCACTCCTGCCTGCTAGCAGAACCTCTCCTTTCTGTATAAGTGTTCTGTCACAAGCATGCCCTGGAGCTGGAGGAAAACTCTGTGACTTATTCCACCTCAAGAGCTGTTCATGTTCTTTGCTATTATTAGCAACGGGAAGTATCTTCATGGCCTGAAGCTCTCAGAGCTGTGTGTTACTGTAAAGGGGTGATCAATAATTCACTTGAGGAGATCTTAAAATGTCACCCTTCCTAGTTAAACCCTATTGTAGGTTCCACAAGTTCTTTGAGATAATGTACATTTTCTAATGGCCTGAACACTGCTAATTTTTCTTCCAAGCCTGTTAGTTACCTGGCTGAAAGACATTATTGTTTGCTAGTAATCATGCTACCTGGTAATTATAACTATTTCCAAAACTGGAATCACCAAGGATGCTCAGTCTCTGCTCCTGGCCTCCACAGTGCACTGCAGTATATTAAACCTTGTTTAAACATGTTAAACTGCAACAGAGTTGAAGGAGACTTTAAACATATTAATAGAACATGCAGCATTTTTCAATAACACAATTTCAAGGGATACTTAAATACAAGGCTCCCTTCTGTTTGAGGACTACATAATCCCTCTAGAAAACTACAAACATTTAAATAATGGAAAAATCTTCACCTTCAAAGGATGGGCCTCTGACTAAACCTCAGTTCTTGGCTGCTTTAGTCCAAAAATCCCTTTCTGGGAGCAAGTGAGGTGTTTTTCAGGAACCCATTAGTATTCTTTCCTGCCTCTCCAGTACAAAGATTAATGCTTTTCCTGAGATAATTGGAATGTGGGGACAACTCTGAAAAATATGGGTCTCTAGGACAGGCAGAACACTCCCTAGATATGGTATCTGGATAAAGGTTTCTGCTTCTATGCTGTTCCACTAAGCATTTCTTCCAAACCACCACCTACCCTAGTAATTTAACTTCCCTGACCCTGCTACAGCTTGAGGTTTGTGCTTAAGAGTCACTTCTTAGAGACTTGGGTTAAAATAGAGTAGGACAGGTGTGTAGACAAAACAAATCTAGTAGTCATTATTCAGTATTATTGCAACCAGTGTACACTGGGCCACCACTTTACAAGAGGACTATTGGATTTTCTCTGTTTGTTGTCAATCTCAAGATTTCAGTGTGTGGAGAAAAATCTGCAAGGTGCAGAATTCCCACTTCTGTCAACAGAAGTTCTGTCTAGATGGTATAAAATCTATAACCTTATGCTCCCTGTATAAGCTTATATCAATTTAGTAGGAATTGAGCATCTTGAAAAATTATGTCTTAAAAGAATTTTCTTCAAGGGTATTAAGGCTGATAAATCCCATGTCTCAAAAAACCAAAATCAAATTAAAGGTCACCCACTAGGCTGTGATTCCATGTAAAGCCCTTGGCCAAATTTCTTGCTTGTAACTGCTCATCTAAAGACAATTTCCTGCTCTGAATACTTCATAATAGAATGCCAGATTCCCACAAAAGGAAAGCAAGCAAGCAAGCAAGTATTCACCTTAAAAGATGTTTTTCAGCTGAATTTACAAAAATATTATGAACTTTAAGTTATTGGCAAAAGTTCAAAAGATGTCTGGTTAAAAAAAAAATAATTGCTCATTATTTGGAAGTATCCACTTATACTGGTTATTAAGTATGATAAAATAATAGTAACTTGCATGTACAGACAGATATTTTTAATTACGTAACCTGAATTCAACAGCGTTATATAAGGTAAGCAAGAGTCAGGAAGGCAGCCTGCAGATGGCCTTAGTGTAGAGTTCTAATTCCTTAGCACACAAACAAGCTTTGAAACTTCACAAGAGACTCCTGAACATATCATTAGGTTCCAGTTTTGAAGATCTATAGTAGTAGATGCTGACCTAGAAAAGGTAAATAACTTTTCCACCATTACACATATTTACACATGTCCATAATTACATCTAATCACCCCCACTTCACTCTTCACAACTCCTTCTTTGGCAGCTGAATGAAGTTTTCCATCTCCTAACACAGGAGGGGTTGTCACAGATGTAACACCAGAAAGGACTGTGACAACCATCTAAGCTCAGGCACAAGGTGATTTCTGCTTTAACCTCAACAACTTGCAGTTAAATGACAACAAGGAACCACAGATACTTTTCCAAGACAAAACTCATTCCAGTGGTCACTGAACGTGTTTTTTTTACTGCTGTGATGTGGGGATGAGATGAAAAAGAACATTTGAGATGGACACTTGCTCAGCCCATTCTGAAGGTATATTCAAACTACAACTATTTTCTCTAGACTGAAAGCAAATAGTTGTTAATTCACTGATCTGAATCATATTTGAAGAAGTGACTTGGTGTTGAAAAGTTTCCTGATTTACTTTCTTTGGACAATGCTTTGTCAAAGAGAATTAGTAGCTTTTCAACAATAAGTAAGTGAACAATATTGGCAGTGAAAAATGCCAGTAATTTCAACTGGAATAGCACACTTTATCACTAAACTTTTATTCATAAACCAGTTAAAATGTTAAATGTGTATATATAATCAACTTCATTATAATTCTTTTTTTAATGCATCAGGTAAAATATTGTATTGAACTGGAAGTTTCACATGGCAACACATAACAAAAATTAAAATAAAGCCCCTACCCTCTTTTTGCTAGGCATCTGTTTTCTGACCCATATATTGACAGACTCAGGCTATTATCATACCTGTACAAGGCAGGTAATTGGTACTATCTGTGAACAGAGATAACACACTGCCAGTGAACACTGCCCAGAGCAAAGCTTCTGCGCTACTGTAAACTTTGGGCTGGAAGTAAATCAAGGTTGCCCACTGAGAATAAAGCTCACATTTAATAGCACAGGCCAGTGTCACTGAAGCTCAGTAATCCACTGCAAGGTTGCTTAAAGTGAAATAATCCCAACGGTAATCTCCCTGGATTTAGAGATGATGATAAAACAACATTTTCTGCAAGGACATTTCTGCATGAGTACAACCAACCACACACAACACGCATCGTGCATGCACAAGCACCACATCAGTGATTCTGGCTTTTATAAACCTACCCTAGTTTTCAGTGATAATGACAAGAATCCAAATCTAACTCATTCTACACAGTACTTTGAGAAGTTTTGCCCTTGTTATATTTCAAAACCGAAAGGCCAATTGAAAATAAGAATCTCTGACCACGGAAAAAAACAGCATTAAGCTCTGACAAAACCAAATTTTTTCTGAAAAAGTAACCTTTGGTCCTTTTCAGTCGCGTTCCCTACAGTAACTCACTAGACATAATACGGGAGCAAAGCAGAGATGTTTCCCAGTACGTTTCACCTGGAGTTCAGCAATAATATATGCACCCTCAGGAAAGCAAATAATCTCTCTGATTGTTACTGAAAGTTGCTATGTATAAGGACCGGTGGAATTTTATTCCTTCAGAGATGCTTAAAGAAAGTGGAGGAAAAAAAGACAACTTACTGTTCGAGCCAAGCTTTGCCTCAGATGAGTAGTGTTGTGTAGTCGAAGCTGAACGCAGGGAGTTGCCTTGCGAAGACTTTCATGGCTGCCCAAAGTGTGATCGCTGCAGTTTGGGGGAAAACAAACAAATCGTTATCTCTGCCTCATTTCCTTTTTTATTGATTTCTTTTTTTTTTTTTTCCCCCCTTGCTCCCTCTCCTAAAGGCACCAGTACACTAAATTCTAAGTGCAAAGGAGACTGAACAATAAAAACCCTGTACTTAGCGCCTACTTCCATGAAAACTGATGGGGTGAAACAATTGATTGCTTAGTTGTATCACTGACCATTAAGTTCTGTAACAGAACAACAATGACAGAGAAAGAACAACCTTAACCAACAGCATGTGCTCCCAAACCTCGAGATTATTTATGCATGTTCTTCAAACACCAGTTAGTGCAATTTATACAAAGTATCCTGGATGAGAATGCATCACTGCAGAATGACTGATACCCAGTGTCTGATACCCAATTCGAAAATCAAATATTAACTCTAAGTTTGAAAATCACATATATTAAGATGGGTGTCCCTTGATTCTTAAAGAAATCAAAGTTCTCATCCTGTGAAGCTCACACAGAGGTGATAAAAGCAGGGTTGGTCTTTGTCAAGTCATATGCCAGCTAAGGTCAGACAACAGAGCTCTAGTCACTCAGCTGGAGTGGTTATTACAACTACACTGCTGGTCAAGGATGCTCTACCACCCCATAACAGCGGAATTAATTATTCTTATTTATTTGCCTCCTCAGAGTAGCTTGTAGCCCGCTTACCACTCTTGGCAACTTCTTCTAAAGTTACCACACAACCTTGGTTTGTCACTTGAAATTACTTGGAACAAAAACAATTTCACTATTTCCCTTCCACATGTTGTTTTAAACGGGTGAAATAATGCAACATTTTTTTTCAGAGTTAAGGTAAACATTCTTTTACATCAGAAAAAAATCCTTTGGGATTAATGAGTAGGAAAAACAACAATGGTTTTTACAAAGGCAAATTCATCACCAAGAGTTAGTACGCATCATCAGTTACGCCTCTAGTGCATGTTCAATTAGGTTCATGTAGCTTTTTTCAAGACTTCAGCAAAACAAACACCAAAAAGGATATTCTGTATTTATACAGTTTTATAGTATGGTAAGTTGTTTCAGAACTCCCTGGTCCGTGAAGAAAAAACGATTCTTTCTTGGTTTATCAAGGGCCATGATAAACTCAGAATTCAGATATAAACTAATAATAATAATATAATGGCCAGTCTTCGCGAGCGAAGATCCGGGGAAGGTCTTTCCACCTTCCAGCCTGCGCATTGGATTTTTTAGGTGAGACACAGTGTGCGCGGAACTGAGCCCACCCTTTAATCCTAAGGTTCATCTGCCGGGGCCAAGCGAGCTTGGACGGTGGCAGCGAGGTCCTTAGGACGTAGGTGGGTTGCCTTTAAGGGCTAACGAGCCCCGCCTGCCCGGGAGTGGCCCTGACCGGGAATCGAACCCGGGTCTCCGCGGTGATAGCGCGGCGCCTTTACCCCCTAGACCACCAGGGGCTCCAATATAAACTATACTTCTACTTAAACAGGCTTTTGATGGAATGTCTGAATAAAAATGGCTGGATTTAGTTTTAAAAAACCCCAAATGCTCACCTATGAATAAATCATGGAAAATCTGACTTAGGGGAGACTCAAATCTCACACTGAGCAGCAGAGGTTCCCAGCATAAGTGAACATTTACACTAAGAAACATTCTGTACCTAACTGCCATTCAGCACAATCACAGGTAATTAATACATCTTTGTAAATAATCTGAACTCATACTACACTGTAGTTAAGTATATACTCTCCATAAGAGGTGACAAAAGTGTAGATATAAGATTTTTTTTTTTTAAACATATACATGAAATGTTGCAGAAGACAAACTCATTTCCATCTGACAAAACAAATACCTAATACCTATACCAAAGGTTCTCCTTTGGTAGCACTTCCATACATTTGCAAAATTTCTTGATTTCAAGAGCATGATGTAAGAGTGAGGGAAGTTAACATCAACAGAGTGAAATACCTGCACTAGAGCTATCTGCTTATCACTGTTATACCTAAACCCTTCTCAAGTCCTTTTACAAGTGAAAGTCCAAGTGATCAATTCCCAGTTCCTGTGACTGTACCAACACCTCCATTCTCTTCTGCTGCTCCTCAGCTCATCTCTGTGTTGTGCCTTCCCATGGCTTTCTTGAAACTTCTTCCTCTCCTCATTTCAGCTGATCAAATCTGCCTCCTGACTCTGATGATGAACTCCCTGTGACTGGGGTTGAGCCAGCGAGGAAACCATGTGAGAGTGGGGCGTGAAGGGAATCAAGTGGGGACCCATTGGGTCACAGGAGCTACTTGCTGTGAAGGGACTTCAGTCCCAGCAATGAAACTCTCAGTGGCTCCTGAATGGTCAGACTACGAAGTTTCCTTAACGCTTTAGAACTACCTCACACCTGGTTTTTACCTTATACCCCACCATTATTCCTTCTCTTTCCATTCTGCCTCATCTCCAACCTTGGGACAGGCATAGTGACAAGAATATTATCACAAAGAAACACATCTCTGAGTCCTGAGTCACTTTTTCCTGATTCCTCCAGCAGACAGATTCCTACTGCAATGCCAACATCACACCAAGCCAGTGACATGAATTGGTACAGTTGTACCAATACAGAGGAGCGTTCTGCTAGTGTACAGCTATGCCCTCCTCTGCAGTTACAGTTTTGTACCACAGATGTATAAAAACTGCCTTTTGCAAGTGTAATTTTTCCATGCCATCCCGCTTCCAGGCAACACAAGCTGTGCCAAGAGAAGTTGAACTTTCTGATTATAAATACATTTACACCAGTGGTTTGTGTTAGCTTTGCTGTGTCAGGCAGATACTATACATCATCAAATCCTGTATTGACACAGCGATGCTGCCTGAAATACTGCAGGCAGAAGTACTGGCCATGCAGTTGACTTCATGAATGGATTTTATTCGCACAAATACAAAGGGAAAAATTTTGACAGATATTGTTACACAAGAGACTAGACAAAATGGATTAATGCCTCAGCAAAATAATGTGGAAACCTGGTCTAGATGAAAAGTGAAATACAAGAAATAGAAGTGTAGCTTTGCCACATTTTAGCTGTACCCCAGGCAAATTTGCTACTGTGCCTTTACTATTAAGACAAAGGTAATGTATCTCCTTTGGAGGATAATATGATTATTAGTAACTGGTTTACAGCCCTCTGAGATCTGTAAAGGAAACAAAAATAAAAGCCCTGCAACATTATTAACTCAAGTTTTCCCCTACTTTTTTCTGAAATTACGTGAAGAATACAGCTTTGTGGGAACGCTGAGACAAATGATATAAAGAGAAAGGCAGTCCTTGTCTTTAGGAGACATGGTGATGAGTGGTCAAAGTAAAGGGACTTGCCCACGGTCTCACAATATATCAGAAGCAGAGAAAGTGAAAATCCCTCTCTCTTGAGACACCCTTACTACTTGCTTCCCCACAGCGAGGTTCTCTGATGTGCTATAAGCTTCAAATCCTACTACAGTTCAATCATACTGTTTTTTTAAGGGACTCAGCTGAGCAGCATCTCTGAATGAGAAACTTAATCTGCACTGACAAGAGAAAATTACGTTTATTTTTCACAAAGAACATGTTCATCCAAAGGTACTTGCTTCTTATGATTCCAATCTGCATGATTATGTCTCTGCCCGGTGTATAATTAATAGATTAAACTTTGAGTGAAAACCAATTCTTATTTAGATTTCAATTCCCAGAGAACAGAATTAGTAAGGTAAAAAAATAAAATGTCATCAATAAGGTCACAGGCAAGCATGTGAGAAGAAATGATAAGCATTTACACTTTTCAGTTCCCTACCCCTGCTCAGTGTGTTGGCTGAACTGCAAAGCATTAAGGTACCTGTGCAAAGTATGCTATGGTAGAGTGTGGATGCAACTTTAAATACACCAATGCCTTAAAAACAAAGCTTATAAATATCCTTGTACTGCATTCCTTTGCTGGATCTGCACTACTGCAATCTATTGATAGCGGACAGATCAATTAAATATTAAGAAATTGAAAAAAAAAAGAAAAGTCCCCTATTCTTATATATATTCGTGTGTTTTGCTTTATCTGGCATTTCAGGATGCCCTGAGTTTGTGACCTGTTTTGCTAAAGACAAAAAAGTCTAAATGGAGGACTGATTCACTGCTGACACATGAGAAGGGTTGGTTTTGGCTTGCTGCTGACATTAAGAGCCAGGAGTAATTTGACACAAGCTGCTGAAGCCCAATTTAAATTACTTTTATATAACATATTTCATGAAGGGTATCATAAAATCATTTTTAGGGGTATCCATTTTAAATCTAAGGAAAGATAGTAAACTGTGAGAGCAAGATTTAAAGGTGGAGGTAGAAGGTTTGGATGATGGCATGATAAAGAATTTTTAGAAAGAGCAGATGGCCCTCTAAGAGGTATAAGATGATCATGAACAGGACAAGTGTAATGGAGTGGACAGCACACCCACAGCTGGGAAACCCAGAGAAGAAGAGTCTTTGGATATGTATGAAATTTGGAAACTTCTGTGAATAGTGGTAAAATTTGATGACAGAAATAGTGGGGTTTAGTCTTCTCTTCTTTCCGGGAATCTGCATCTTTCAGATAGGATTCTGCCTCCAGATGCACTTGCACTGAATATCTGAAAAAGGAACTGCAGCAAATCAACTGAGGAACCAAAGTACACCTTGTAGTGACAGAAGGAGCAGGGACAAGGTGCAAGGCTTCTACAGGCACTGCAGGAAATACTTGAAAGTACAGGAAGAAGAAGAAGAAAGCCTGCAGGTTGCAGCAAGGTCAGGGTTTCCAATCAGTACACAAAGTGCTCTTAAAGACCAGAAACCAAATGAGATTCCAAATCAGAATTTCACAGATGGCTTTATTAATTACAGACTCAGCTGCAGTCTATATGCAGCCTTCTGATATTTTTAAAATTTGGATATTTGAAATCTGATATTCTACGCGTGAGTCAGATGGGATATGAGCTCAAGGATCTCTCTGTAGGAAGGGAATAATGGACGATGGAATCTTTTGGTGCTGAGTGTAATGGTCGTTAGCACACAAGTATTTTTTTCCTTCATCTCATTGAAAACTAAATGGATTTCAGAAATCATCAAGTCTTTCAGGTGCTTCTGCAGGAGGTAGGATGAAATGCTCATTAATACAGTCCAATGTAACAGTAAATGAAAGCTTTTGACAGATGTTCACAAAGCTGTCTGCTCTACTCTGTCTGGGAACAATTTATCACATCACCATTTTGGCTTCATTTTAGTTTTTTTCTGGATTACAGTAAAGCAGGAGCAGCAGAGTATTTATTCCCTTTGCTGTCTCAACTTGGGGAACTTCTACTGGAATTCATCCCTGAATAATTTCCAAATACTCTTCTGGGGAAGAACTCTGCGCAAGTACATCAAATCACTATGTTAGCAACATTGGATGGAAACCAATTTGCACTTAAAGATAGCCCACACATAGGAAAAGTTTCACCCTGAGGCAACTCTGCAGGCCATGTTAAGCTACCCAAGAGATCATTATGGTCTGGGGTTTCAAATTTCAGATACAGAGTTCTGATGAAGAAGCAGAAGAAAGGCAGTTGAGTTTTATGGCATCATATGGACTTACAAGTTGCTGAAGCTGGAAGTGCTTTTTGTATGACAGTGAAGGAGCAAAGCAAAGTCGAGAACGTTACTGACCTTGTTTCACTGCTAATGAGATATGTAGAGATTTTGCAAGTACAGGAATTTAAACAGTCTACTACTGATGCATTCTTCCCAACAGTGAAAACAAAACTCTTCAGCACGTACTGTACACTGTACTGAAACACACTGAGCTCACTCTCAATACAACAGCTCATTATTTCTATTTTCTTAGCAATTACTTTAAAATGAGAAGAGATCTTGAAAATAATAATTAAAAAAAAAAAGAAAAAAACCCCCATGCTTTCTTCTGTGAGTAACAGATGTCATGTATGACCTGGTTCTTTGCTCAGTGGTTCCAGTGTTCTAATGCTTCACACTGCACTCTGCTGTACCAGCTTCTGCTTTATGGAGATTTGAACAAGGGAAGAAGTGGCTTAGAGGTGTTGAAGTCTCCATCTTTAGTTTCCAAACATAATTCACTGTAAACATCTGAACATTTGACCTGTGTGCCTGTGTTAGAGTAGAAGTGTTCAAGCTGGATACAGAACCAAGCTAATTTATACAGTGTGACACTTGCTCTCACAACTATATTATCTTAATTAATCAAACTGACTTGCTTTAGGCTATATCAGGTAATTTTTACACTCTACTGTAAATATGACTACTTGTAAAATTTTCCCTTTCAATTACAGACATACACTATTTTATCTAACACTTTTTACATCTCTAATAGATGAGCTGTGATTCCTGCAGTGCCAGTTTAACATGTTACCACAGAGTACTGCCAACTTCTCCCCTTCTGCTGAAAGTCACCATCCCCACAACACAGCTGACAAGTACCTGCACTTTAGCTGCTTCAACACAGAACCTGCTCACTTTTGCTGGCAGCTGAATTTAAGTTGCCAGAGAGCAAGAAAGAGCTATCTGAGTCCAGTAGTGCTTTCAACCACTACAAGAGCTTACTGGAATTAATGTGAATCAGAACATTTACTTCCTTACTAGTAGACTACATACATTCAGAAAGACCTGTTTGCATGTACAATGTGTTTTTCTTTAACCTGCAGTCAGCACCAAAGCACTGACTTCATTTGCTTTACTACTGTATATGAAGAAAACCCCCTGCTATGCAGCTGTATAATATTGTTTCTCCTCTCTTTGGCTACTTCCCCCTTTGAGAATATGCTGATAACATCCCTATGAGATAGTGGAAGCAGCAGCATCCTTGTATTATGGACGAAAAAGACCAGAAGGGCAGCAAAGTGAAACAAATTATTAAAGGTTGCACAAAGCTTATACAGAGGAGCCAAGATGTGAATCCTTGTACTAGAGCACACCATCATCTCTGCAGAACATAAGTACTGTGTGTTTCAGGAGTTTCAGAAACTATACATGAAGTGTTTGGAACACAATACTCTTAACTCTCCCTATGGTTCTTGTTTACATGACTCGTGGTTTAATGAGATACTTACTTTTGTAAGAATTCATCAGACCCATAAACACTTAGAAAGCATTCCTCCTGGGCTGGGTATTGATTTGTGCAACGGAGGATCTCTACAATGAAGTCATGAGTGATACAGCCAGCTGTAAATAAAGATAGCAAGAAAAATTAATAGTAGCTTGCTAGAGAATTCCAGGCTAGCTCCTTGAGCAAAGAAAATTAGATTTTTTTTTTTTTGTAAGCCTTAACAACTGCTGCAGACTAGCTCCATCAAGAGGAATTAAATCAAGCCACACTTGATTTTATTATTTTTTAAATTTTTCTTCAAATATTTTACATGTCACTGGATCTATGTCCATTTAGAGGAAATTAGCAATTTGTTAGGTAGCTGCAATGGAGAAGAGATGAGTAACATTCCCAAGAAGAAAGGAAAAGACAAATAGCATTTTATTTTTCTTTTTCATTTTTCTGATTAATATCTTGGTACATTTCCGGTGTACAAACAAGACCTGATGGAGAAGTTGACTCTGTAGCCGCTCATGACACAAGAAGGCTACAGAATTTCACTTGATATTGTTTCTGCCATGCACACCTTTTTAGCCATGACAAAGTGGTAAATTATTACTCAAATGCATTTTATATATATGTAATTTATTATATAAAAATTATTTAATATCTGTATAACCACAAAACAGTATAGACAGAAATACATAATCCCTCTAAATTAGGAAGTTCTATGTCAGTGTGTACAACGTGCTGTTCAGAAATACTCCAGCATTTTGAGATTTTTTTTCCAGAGCTACTTCAGCTTTTCAAGCCATTTTCCAACACTTGCCAATACACTTCCTCTCTGTCCATTTTAGAAGAATTGAGTAAAATTGAAATGAATAGCTGCATAATCTGGATAACATCTGATAGGTTTCATCCTTATGGGCATGCAGAGCACAGTGTACCCACACTGATCCTGCAAGTCTGCCTTTCTCTAGCAGAAGAAAGGGTCTGACTCTTCAGTGAAAAGTCTTCTTTATGTGTATAGAGATGGCTTAACAATGAAAAATAAAGCCTGACTTCCTCCACACAGGCAATTTCATTAGCTTTTCTGTTAACAGTTACAGATAAGGTAGAATTTCCTTTCTGTTTTTCATTTGTGGTATTTCTTTATTCCTTCAAAAGTAGTGGCCATAGGAGCCCTTTCTGGAAGCTTTAAGTGAACTTTGGGATATATAAACGGAAACTACCTACAAATCCTCAGAAAATAAACATGTAAGCCAGCTCTCTGTGTGTTACATAAACATGTAACTTCAGCTTTGTGTGTTGACTAATTTACACTGCTCCAGGTTCAGACACCTGGTTCAAACTGAGTCTAACCAACGAGTTTCACCAGGATTAATGAGGTTCTGAATCACCCATTTGCCCATAGCAGCCAATTCATAGAATAAAACAGAACTGACAGAATAGAAATCTGCTTCAGAGTTGCCATGCTATTATTTTAGAACAAACCAAGAAATATAAAATTGATTTTGTGGGGAAGTTTAAAGGGTTGTGATACTGAAAAAAAACTTCAGAGAACAGATGACATTTTTAGGGGAGGGGTCTGTGACATAAACAAAGCTGAAATAAAACAGAGTTTGTTGCCATAGCTAGCTTACTTTTCGGTTTGGTCATCCCTAGGGAAAAACAAATGTATCAATGGATTTAAAAGCTTCTTCTAAAAATCTTCATTTTCTTTGAAAAACTCTTTTTCGTTTGCTCTGAAAGCCCCTTCAGTTACACGTTTTCTACCAGTTTTATTGGTTTTAAACATTTAGCCCTCTTACAATTTGCTGTTTTAAGCATGGTTGGTTTGACACAAACTGCAGTGCTCTTTGCTAAATTTATACACTTGAGAAAACAAAGAATGACACTGAATCTTGAATTAAAATTGTAACATGCACTTTTCTCAGGTCACTCCTTGGAAAAAATCTGAATCTTGCTAGTATCATTTGCATCCTCTAGGCCCATTCTCCTTTTTTTGCATAACTGAACAATTCTTTATATGAGATGGGGCCAAGAAGTGTACTCCCTCCCTGCACTTCACCCTTATCACTTAGTTGGTAGGAAGTAAGCAAGTATAGGATAGAACTGTTCCTTACATCCCCTTTCAGTTTTAGTTGTGCCTTCTAAAGAGATTTTGTAAATAAAGTTAAGCAGACTGAAAAAAATCAATCTGTAATGTTATATGATAAAACATTTGCCTGTAGTTAAGATTTTTGCTGTACAGGGAACTTCAATGTAGATCCCTTGCCTGGCTGACAGGAGTGTTGGAATTACTACCTTCTGGTCCAAGTGTCCCAAAATCTTCCATGGCATCCACAAAACACTGGTTTGAGATGACACAATCTACTATTTTTCTAGGCTTTCCAGTAAATATGTAGGTGTTCACAAATCAAGCAAGAAAACTTGTAAAGTCTGTAAGTCTTGGCTACCTTACTTATGAAGCTTTTTTTTTTTTAAATATGTGTGACTGACATTCTGTAGAGCTTTGGATTTTCAGCTTTCAACCTGCCACACAAACTAGTACTCAGCCTGTTACAGCCAAATAATTCCTTGACAACTGAAGAAATGATTCAGAAAAAAAAAAAAGACTATCACTTAATGAAACAGCACAGGAAGAGAGAGGAAAGAAGATGTAATTTATTTCAGTTTTGCATATGTTGCAGAAATAAAAATTACCAGAGCTGGAATTAAGATTCTCCCATTCATCAGAGATACAGGATGCACAGGAGTAGTGGCAGCTTTCCACAGTCATCAGTGACAGAATAATCTAGGTTGGGAAGAACCTCAGTAGGTCCATCTATTCCAGCCTCCCCCCCTCCACAGCAGGGTCAACACTGAATTCAGATCAGCTTGTTTAGAGTTTTGTCTTTTTATACCTCAAAAACCTCCAAGGCTGAAGACTCCACAAAGTCCACGAGCTAACTGTTCCAATTAGTAATTATTTCCCTTTATTCGTTCCCCCTAGTTGGAATTTTTCCTTTCATTTGATGACTGATGTACCTTCCCAGACCTGCACACAACCTTGGGTGCAGAGGAGTTTCTGCAGGAACTGCAATTTCTTCAGAGCACTGCGGACTCTTAAGTCTTACATTCAGAAACAGAATCAAGGCTGTGAGAACTTCCAAAACTATATAAGGGCTACCCCTACACTTTAAATTAGGCACAAGTTTAAATTCCTCCTGGATGAAAGTCTGAATGATGGCCCATTTGGGACTGCCAGAATTGACCCTGATTGCAATGAAAGAGAGATCCATCAGCAGAGTTTGATATTTAACATAATATTAATTTTACAGCAAATATACTGAACATGCTTGACAAAGTTTGGACTCAAGACTCCATAAGGTTTGCTCTCTAAATGTCTTTGCAGACAACAAATGCATTTTGTTATCATCTCCTTGGAATTCAGTTGTGGAAGAATATGGACACCTCAATCAATTACCTTGTTGTGTGAGAAGTACAGGAGACGGTGAATAATCTGTCCAAACACTGATTCTGAATTTTGTTCCACCAAGGATATGGTCTGGGAATCTTGTTGTGACACTCCAGATTCTCCCAGTATTTGTCTTCAAGTCAGAAGCAGGATAGGCATGTCTGATCCTGGAAAGAAAATGTGAAGAAACCACGTCTAAATGGGTGTGCATTTTTGATCTCTTTTAAGAATAAAACACAAGTTCTACAAGATACGTGTAAGAATAGTACATAGAGAGTTGTTAGAATAAAATTCTGTGGACAGAAGGGGTAGCAACTCAAACTCTGTTTACATACATTAGTGAGATAACTACCTATCAGATAGCACACATAACTACATCTTTTACTTCTATGAAAACCATCAGTAAAATCTTCGTGAGCTTGACAGCATCACTGCTGAGTTTGATCTCAGTGAAACCAAAAGGAGTTTAAACAGAGACTTCAGCGTACACTGAGCACAGTAGAAATAATGGTGCTCAAATATGTACTTAAATAACTGAGTATTAACATAAAACTAACTAAGGGCACATGCTGTCACTAGGACAGCTACTCAAAATGAATACAGGAACATGTATTCCTATGCAAAACCTTTAGCAGTCTCTATTTTCACAATTCTCTCAAATCCAATCTGAAATCCTCATTACCAAAACCCTGAGTATTTCTATAAATGTCTGTACAGCACAGTAACTCTTACAGTCATTGAGTCTCTCTGATATACCATTACCTATAAAATATACTGCCCTTTCTCCTTCCAATTATCATAGACTTGCAGAAACTAATTCCTCCTGAGGTACCATTTCCTAATGAACACTGGTCACAGGTATTATGTCTGTCATCTGAGATTCAATTTGCTTTTTAAGTAAATACACCTTGCAGCTGCAGGTAAGGGTACATATTGTACCCTTCACATTCACTAATTGGTCTGAATATTTAATAGCTAAACTTGAATATCCTGTATTAAGCATACTGCATTCTCTTTCGTTAGTTCAAGAAGCATTTTCTAGCTTCTGAGTTGGCAGGGCTTTATACCATCTCTGATTACGGTGTATTTTGAACTATGGTTGGTTCTCTCACCTAAAGGTCTTCATTTCTATGTTACCCTCTCCTCAGAGTTGCTGTCCAAGTCTCTTAACCATATGAACTACTCTTATGTGCCATCTGTTTCTACAGTATGAGAAGGAAAAAAAAAAAAGCCCAGGCTTCCAATATTAATAATCCAGTGAAGTAGCCCATTTCTTATAATGAAAAACCAGGGGGCATGATGCTTCAGTGGGGTAGGAGGAAATGAGGTTTGACAAGAGAACCTCCAGTACAAGGTAGATTTACACTCATTGTTAAAACCCATTATACTACAGAGGCAGTTTGCATGACCTACGTAGCTGATGTCGGTCTATTTTCTTTGTGTGCAAGGTACATATAAAACTTTCTCCTATCACCAAATTCACTCTTGTAAGCTGTTTCTGTAAGAAGGCCAAGGACTCAGGAAGGTTGGAAACTTCACTACCTTTTCTCCAGCATCAAATCAACAGGCTGTGTACACACATGGGACATGACTCACCTCCTCAACTTACTGACAGTCACTTCAAAACTAAGCAAACCTCACCTCCTTCCCTACCCACACACTGCTTATATTTTAGGATAATGTGGGGACACATATTTGCTTTTCATGATTTTTCAGTTGAAAATGCATTCAGTTTCAGAAAGTGTTGCTCATTTACCGCCATCTACTCTTTTCACGTGATTAAAGGGATTCTGGCCTGAGCAGGTGAGCAAAACATGCCCATTGCAAAACTTGGAAAGTTGAGGTCTTCCAAAGCATAGCTAAACTATTATGCAAGTATTACATGAAGAAAATCTTGTGCTATTTGCTTTCTTGTTGTGCTGCAACAATTCAGTGTATATGGAAAGTACTAACATTTATAGGGATTTGCTATTTCACAGCATTTCAAAACACGATGTATTTCTCAGTGGTGCAGAGCCCATCCTTGAAGACAGTGGGAGGTGGAGGAAACTCTGCATTTTGCAGCACTGAACCCTGAGACTATTGGCTTGGCATCTTCTGGTATCAAACTCACTTCAGGGCATATTCTGAAGCCACCCATGGATGAATGCTCACTATTGCTAGTTCATGGCTGTAGAAGTAACCTGATAAAGTGATTTTGCAGACTGATTTACAGTGATGTACAACCAAATGTTCCAATTATAGATGTCTACCTGTACCAGTATTACCTAGAGAAAAACATGATGGGTTTCTGTTTGAGTTACATGCTGGAGCTACAAGTAGGCATGACACAGAGTTTGAATTATACATCTTGCCTCTGACATATGAAACTGCCAGCAATTGAGATTCATTGGGGACCTTGAGCATCCTTCCAAGGATGTTCATTTGGCAAGACCGAGTTTGTAAGTTATTTGAAAATTTATGACATTTTTTTGGTCTTTTGGTTGCTGCGACATTTTCTCCTAAACATGTTTTTCTGTTTATTTAATAGAAGAAAAGCAAAGGTTGTTCTTATTTTCATTTTAAGAGTATTTGCTCATGATGCACAAGAAACAAATTCCTGTAAATCAGCAATGTTTTATTTCTATTTATCTTTTAGCCCTGTAAATAAACCCATTTATTCAAAAATCAATAGAAAGCTTTTTCTATAATTAGAATGTTTAGACATTAAAAAAAATCTGAAAATCTGAGATGAAAGCTGTCATGTGAAATGTGCCTTCATGCATCTGATGGTAGAAGAATTGGGTTGGAGTTCAGCCTGACAAACTGTGGAAAAGTAGAAAACTGAGATGTATGTGACTGAGTATATTTTGAAGCTGACCATCCACCCCATATAAATATATAATATATTCACTGTTAATTTCACTGCAACATCAAACTAGGTTTTTTGGTTGAATTTTTTTTTTCCCCTTCTTTTAAGGGAAGCAGGCTTGGCTGACCTTGAATAAAATCAATTCATTAAGATCTAATAAAAAAAAAAAAGCAGCTCTCTATTTTCCAGCTACTCTTCTGGGGAGAAAAGCATGCATTTGTGCTAACAACTTGACACTGTGATCAGTGAGTATCTACAAAGGAAAATGAATCTGCACAGATGGTCTAAAAACTCGTATTTCTTAGCGTGTTTGGATTTCAACACAATTTCTTTTTCTGAAGAAGATTAAGAAAGTAAAAAAGGTTCTATCTCATTGAGCCAGGCTATAAACTGTAACGGTAAACAATAATTAAAGGAGGTTTTTGTCACTTGCTTAGTCTCACTTTTCATCATGACAGGAGGCAGTAATTCTGTTCTCGGTCAGTTCCTCCAACTCTTTTTCCTGCTCTGAGCTACACAGCCACTAATATTGTCCAAAACAACGACAGAAAATAGGATCTTAAGTTTTATACACTATAAGCCATCAACACTAAAGAGTTAAATGTACTTATCACTGATAAAAGGGACAGTTAAGAGAGAAAATATTTTTTGAACTAACATTCCTTTGTGTATTTTAATCTTTAAACCAAAATTAGAAGTGTTTCATTATTTAAGTAGATACTGGAATTATGGCATTGTTTAGAAATGCAGAGTGTGGTGGGTTTACCTTGGGTGGATGCCAGGTGCCCATCAAGCTGCAGGGACAGGTGGAGAAAATAAGATGGAAAAAACCCTCCTGGGTCAAGATAAAGCAGTTTAATAAAAGCAAAAGCAAAGGCCACATATGGAAATGAAGGGAAACAAAATATTTATCCTCTACTTCCCATCAGCAGGCAATGTTCAGCCCCTTTCCAGGAAGAAGGGCTTCAGACAAATGTAATAACAGATTCTGTTGTCATCACCCCTCCTCTCTTCCTCTTCCTTTGTCTCAGCTTCTACTGTTGAGTAGACATCACATGTTAATGAATTACATGTCTGATCAGTTTTCCTCCTGGCTATGTCTCCTCCCAAGAACTTGCCCACTCCCAGCCTCCTGGTGAAGGGGGAATGTTGGAGAGATAGCCTTGATGCTGTGGAACACTCAGCAGTAGCCAAAACACTGGTGTTTTATCCACACCTTTCTAGCTGCCAAGGCACAGCCCAGCTCTATGACAGCTGCTATGGGGAAAATTTACTTCATCTCATTCAGACTTTATACACAGGGATAACCAATCCAATTAATATAAATAAGTGAAATGTGATAGTTTGCTGAATGAAGTTTTTTTCATTACTTACTTCTCCACTGTGTTGCAAAAACCAACTGTATTTTCGTTACTTCCTTGATATGCTTCAACCAGCTGGATAGACCAACCTGCATCCTAAAAATACCAAAGAAGAGGCAGAGCTCTGTTATATAGATATCAGAAGCAGGATCATGAGGTTAACCTTGCATTTGGTTCCATGAGAGCTACCTTTCATACTTTATCATGCTTCCCCTGACTTGACGGAGTTCTAAATAAACACAAATGACCCCATTTTGACTGCACTCTAAATGCTTTCAGAGAAAAAAATCACAGTCACAAAGCATCAGCTACACCGGGTAACAACAGTTTTTCCTCTCCATGCAGAACATAAGGAATTATAAAGCTTTCAAAATTCACCTAGTGTCAGAGCACAAATAACTCTAAATGCAGAAGTTGTATGTTGAGTGTACAAAAGGGAGAAGGGGCAAACTGAAGCTTATGCTGCAGTGCGTTTTAGTCCTTATTTTCTCTTCTTATGGCCTGCCCAGAAGCTCAGGATCCCCTCAAACTCCATGAACCTTTCATGCAAGTCCCTAAGACAGATAATAGGAAGCCAGTGTATTCTGTTGAACATGAAAAATCCCCAGATGTTTTCTGTGCTCTTTGGAGAGCAGAGGTCTGAGCCTCTATTTTGGGTCAGAGAACCCCTTTGTCTGTTTGCCATAGAATCCTTCAGTCAGAACATCACCTCCAGGAAAGAACTTAATACTATTATATCTGCAAACCCATTCTGTTGTAGGTAGAGATATACACAAGGCTTAACTGTGTAAGAGTTTTTAAAGCCTTTCAGAAAGAGAAGCAACTAATAACATGTCACAGAGGAGGAAACTGAGATACGGCAAAAGATTTATTTTATGATTTTAGTAATAAAAGTATAGAAATTTATAATCATCATAATAACTAATAAACAGAATTTAAGGTTCTTTTTGGCTGGACAAGGAAGCACAACATGCATGAAAAGATGCTGGGGGAAATATTATATGATCACATTATTACACACTATTTTTCAACAGGACTTGAGCCTCCACTCATTGCAAATATCTGAAAGTGAGCAATGAATGAAACAGAATTGTGTACCGAGAGAACTGATGACAACAGGGATGAAGTAACAGAATGCATTCCTTGATGGCTGGATTCTATCTTTTTGAATCCACAGATTTCTCACCTTATGCTAATCAAGTCATCTGAACCATCTTTCCCAAATACGAACACTAATTGTGTATTTCTCCTTTCTGGAGCACGGAAAACAAAATCATGAAGTTTGGTCTGATAATTGGACTTGGGTGAAGATCTCAGTCTTCTTAGTAACTCTGAAAACATTAGCTTCTAAAACCAGGTTCTAAATAAACAGATAAATATATTACTTTTTAGGCTATATTTCAGTTTTCTTTCTAATATAGAAAAAACAGAATCTCCTTTCACCAGGATATTATAAAGAGAGTTTACTATTTTTGAACATCTGACCTGGTGATGACAAGACCAGAGAAATTCAGTGTTTCCTTTATTATGGACATATTTTGATTAGCACACATTAAATAAAGCCCAGGGCCATACAACTGCATCCAAGAGCTAAGGATCAGAATGACAGTACAATTTCAGCAATGTGAATGTTTTATCTTGCCTGCCTAGGACCTATCTCAATTCTAACCTCCAAGTATTCTTTCCATTTCATTCTGCAATCTTGCTTCTTATCTCCTACTACTTGGATGCATCACTTACTCATCCTGGACCTCACAAATCCAATCTGTGCTCATTCCTTCTTTCGCTGTCATGTTCCACTTTTCCAACTACTCTGACAGTCTTCACTTGGCATCAGGTCTGTCACCCCACAGCACTTCTTGCCTTTTACAAAACTCCCAGTAGCAATGAGTTACTACTTTACAAGCTGTTTTTTAATTTTCCCTCTTTCAATTTTCTTTCACTTTTATTTTCCCTTATCATCTCAAAGTTCAGCTGCCATCCCCTTGCCTTGGCTCTCTTTCTATCCTGACATGGTTGTTTCTCCCTGAAGGAATTCCTGTGACCACACTGATTTTTATGCTACAAATCAATTCTCTCCTCTCTCCCATTTCTTCCTCTCCTCACTAAACAGCTCAAATACTTCCCTGACTTAATCAAATCCTCCCACACATTTGATTGTAGTCGCCCTTGACTCATTCCTCTCCTCTTCCCTCCTCTATAATTCTCCCCTCCTCCGTCACAGAAGCACTTGTGCCTGTTTTGATATGCCTGCTTCCTGTAGCACCTCTTCTTCCCATACTACAATTTAATCTCCTCCTGCTCATTTGTATCCCACTATTTTCTACTCTTCTCATGAGAGGGCTTGTTCTTTTCATCATGATGTCAGCATGCTTTAGTTTTTCTCTCAAAAGTAAAATGCAACAATAGCCTTTTGTCTCTCCACCTATTCATCCCCTCCTCTTTTGTATTCATCACTGAAATTCCAAAATGTGGTGCACAGGATTAGTCTTAAGAGTTCCTGTCCTCAGATATATTTCCCCCTGCTGCCTCCCCATCTGTCTGGGCCTGCATATGTTTACTTCTATAGTTCTCTCTATTCACAGACACAGAAGCAAGTCAATCAAGTGTCTCTTCCCCTTTGTTTTAAGATATTGTGATCACTGAGAACTAAAAGCAGAAGGTAAACCTAAACTGTCTTTTAATATTCATGGTGCAGAGGTATCCTGTAGGCTATTTCAGGATTCCTATAATGACTCAGAAAGTTAACAAGGACTGGAGGAAAGGGTGGATTTATCATTTTCTTTTTCCTTCTCTATGTCAGGATTTTGAAAGAAAGAAAATGAGGACAGGTATAACATCAGAGAGTCATGGGAATCCCATAAGACATGGTTGTTAAAAATGGCAAAATCGCAAACAGAGCTATGAATACCTGATGGAAGAGGAAAAAAGATAAAGGATTTGCCTCAAAAAGACAGTTCTAAGAGTGTGTGTTGTAGGATCCAGCTTCCACAGTTATAGTAGACACATCTATTTTTAGAAAATAATTATATTTCCACATGTAAGTGCATGCAGAACATGGTGAAGGCAGGAAATGGCATGTTTCATCTGTCAGGATCAGAACATGTCAGCTGAATCAGACACAGAGACAATCATCTGGCTCAACAAAAGAAACAGATTCAGCATAATGTATTGTTATTTAGAATCTCAGGTTTCATGTCAGACCATAAAGATTTGTCATCTTACCTCTTTCAAACCCATCTTACTCTACATTTTTGTACTTATCCTTCTGTGGTAATTTTATGGTTCAGTGAGTCAAAAAATGAGCCTACTGGAGCATTCTAGACCATAATCTAGATTCTCTTCTGGTGCAAAATGCTTTTGCTTCCCCCGAGGCATAAATGTTTTATTTTTCATATGGTCTTTAAATTAAGTGCTTCTAATCGATGTTGCAACAGTGTGAGTGAATACACAAAGTACAAGGACACAAACAAGAACAAAAAATTTTAAGGACTGTTAATATAAGCAAATTTCAATACCTCTCTGTGATGTCCAGAGCCATGGGGCCAAGCAGGCCCTATGTTGCATCTTCTGGAAGTGTTGGTTAAACAAGTTTCCCCAATTCCACTTTCATGTCTCTCTTCTTGTCCAAATGGACGGCTGTCTAAGGAAATGGGACATTGAGCATCTATGTTGTTAAAGCCTATCGGAAAACTTGGACTTGTGTTGCCTCTTTCCACAGCTGAACCAAAGACATTTGTGACTGAATTTACACTACTCCCCCCATAGAGTTCCCTCTCTTGACTGTAGGGATAGGGATCCACTGGAGAGAAGCTTCTGTAATCAGACAGCAAATAAGATCTGAATCCAACCGTGGGTGACACTGTGCCTTGCTGCCAGTGAGAGACAGGATTTTCAGGGTAAAGTTCTCCATAAGCAACTAGAGGCTGACCATAAAAATGCTGGCCAGGTACATTCAGACCAAAGACATCTGATGGGGAAAAGATTTCTTCATGATGATGTGAATGTGATGAACCATAAAAAAAAAATTCATTGCTGACTTCATCAACTATTCGATCAAATCCTAGAGGGATCTCTCCAACAGAACCAGGATGGTACACTGGGTAAGATGCTTGGTTCCCAGTCTGTCCTTTATGGAATTCATCATGTGAGAAAGGCACCCTTCCAAAGTATGCCATGGTTGATTCTTCTTTTCAGTCTTATTAATCTTTGGGAAAGTCTCATAACAGTTCCAAGGTCAAGAGAGCAGTGTTCAGAACTGGAGCTACACACCACTGAAATGAAGCACGAAATAAAAGTTAAATCCCAAAATATCTAATATTAGGAAAGCAGTACATTGCAATATATTTTTTTGCTTTAGAGCTTTATCCACAGGGTGGAAATATTTTCTTCATGTAGAGCCTGAATCTTCTTTTGCCTGATCCTTATTTCCAGACATATTTTAGTTATTACTAATGTTATTGCTATTATTAAATAATAGTAAGAAATAATAACAAAATAATACTATTATTTTTATTATCCTTGACTCCTAAATAATAACAGGATGCCTGAAACAACTGATCTAAATATTAAGATACTAATTCTGACAAACATTAAAAAAAATCTCTGTGTTTCTTCCATTATTTTTACACTTGGATAGCACACAATGCAGGGACACAAAACAAGCAGTTAGGAAAGTTTTGTATTAATAGTTGTCAGTTTCATTCACATCTTCCTTGTGCCTCAAATTTCTTCATATTCTACTACTTTTTATCTTAGTGTAATAACGTGAAGAACGTTAAGAGAACATAGAAGACATGGACCTCCAATTAATATTCAAAACACTCCAGCCCAAAAGCTTAGATATGGCACATAGAAGAGGGGGGAAAAAAAGATAAATAAATCAATTTCAGCCTTTTTTGTTCCTTTGTTTTACAAAACAGATTTATCTTCAAAGCCCCAGGCCGTATCTTCTTTAGTAAATTAGCAGGCAAGGGCATGAGCTTCTGCAGCAGCTCACCATCATTCATGCTGTTACCAGCAAACTTCCTGACCTAATTCTGGCATGTGCCAAGTACTCCTCTGGTTCAGATGGGCAGTATGTACTGGACACTGCTGTCAGCAGGCATGAGAGTATCTCTTTTTTTAGGAAGGGAGTTTAGTTCTAGAGCCACAATCTATTCTGGGCCACTGGCCCTCAAGGCCTTGGCCTGTTTTATTTACTGATACAAATGTAGCTTAAAAAACACAGATGACACAGAACAGCAATACTACATACACTGTTGTGCTGGAGTACTTTATCACACAAACAAAAGAGAAACATCTGATTTAATAATTCAATAAAAAATGTATTCCCTAGCAGGAAAAGAAAAAGCTATTGAGATAAAAAGTGTGCTCAGAAATTGCTAAAGCTTAGCTCCACAAATAGCTTTTCCATTATGTCTCCAAGATACTGTATTAGTTCAGATAATAGCACCTTGTAATGAAAATCTATGTTACAACAGAAAGTAGACACACAATTTTATTTATTTTTGTTTCATTTTTAAGTCAAACTCCAGGTGACATAAGCTTCTGTCACCCACAGTGGGGAACGAAAAGTGAAATGAAAACTTAAATAGGCTGAAATGAAATCTCCAACTTAGAAGCTGAACTACTCTTTCAAGAACTCAGCTTAGTAATTCCATGTGTTGCATGCTTTGGTTTGCTTTAACCACATTGAAAAAAAGAAGGGCATTTATGAAATTACGCTACACCAGGTAACCAAAATGACAGACACCATTTTGATTTGTGATCTAAACTTCAATTACAGTCTTTTCACCTTTCTCTGAGAGCGAACCCTAAAGTTTAACGTGTCTTTAGATAAAGATGACACCAGTTTTTCAGAAATAAAAAGAATAGAAACAGGAATTTTTGGTATGAAATTTTTCCCATTTACAACTTCCCGTTTCATTTCTACAGCAGGTAAATATAAGAAGGGAAAAAAAAAAAAAGGAAAGGATATAGTCATTTAATCAAGAAGTCTAAGGTCTCATCTTCCTTCAAAAAGCTTGGCTACCTGAAGACTATAATTGAGGCATAGAAAATATAATACCTTTTCCAACCTTTCAACTCTTTATAAAATATTTTGTTTACATTTTAAACAAATTCTGTTAATGGTGACACATAAAGGCCTAACAGCCAACCTTGGTCATTCACCACTAAGGCTCCATCTACTCCTCTGCAACAGAGAAATATTCACACACACAGAGCCCACCTCCACCTGACTATCAGTGCTTATCTCCTGTGCTCTCCATACTGTTCAGGAGAACGATTGCCTCCCGGTTTTGTCTTTAAAAGCACAAAGTTTAGCTACAGTGCCAAAGGCTGGTCCGTGTATTCTGCCTCCCTTTTCTCCTCGCTGGGTTGGGAAGCTCACATGAGCAATGGGAAGATTGCACAACTGCCTCCCTCTCCCAGCCTGGATCAGGGCAGAGGAAGGGCCTGGCAGGGAGCAGACACTCATAGAGCATTGTTTGTCTGTTTCATGTAGGTTTGTGTTTAAAACTAACCATTTAGACTGGGATCTCAGCGTGCCACGGTGTAAATCTCAGTGGTTTAAGGTTTACTTGTTAGTTCAGTCAGAACAACCAGGCTCTGCATTAGGGTCAGCTCCTGATCTTTTTCCAAGCAGCGTACAAAATTCAGGAAATTAATTGGCTCTTTGCCTGTCACTATTACATCATTTGGATCACACAAAGTGCATTGATAAAGACAAATTTTCAAAAATACCTAATGAGGAAAAATTGATATGTTTTTTAAAAAAACCCCAAACCCAAAAAACAACCAACCTAAGTTTTTAATTTTCTATGCCTTGTGATTTCTGAATTCACATTTTGGAGGATTTGACTTCCTCCTACAGCTATGAACCCTCCTTCTCCTTTTAAATGACAGCTGCATTTTCACATAACCATGTGGTTCTGTGATCAGGGGTTTTAAGAGAGAATCTCAACAAGCATTCTGAAATACTCACTACAAACCAAGAGACTTGAAAGCAACACACAGTGCTCACAACATGTGAGCCATCCAAGCACATGACAATACTTCCTAGACTTCAGCATGCACATGCATTCCACAAAGCCTGGCGCATGCTGGGCGCACTTTTCCATTTTACTGGAGCCCAGGAGGAGACGATTGGGCCACTTGCTAAGTGGTAAGAATTATCTGTTGCAACTTCTTACCTGAAACACATAATTTGTTTGAAGAATATTCAGTCTCCTGTGTTTTCCTGCTCACAGAAACATTTAGATGACCTATGTGCTTTCAGTATCAAGGGGGTGTAACTTTTACATCAGAAGCTTTCCTTCCTGTTTAACCGGTTTACTAGGGTGATGATTCTTTCCCAAGTCTTCCTTCAGGGAAAACTGAAACAGCAGTAACAATAAAAGGTAACACCTAACACCTTATCTGTTCCCTTTCTCAATTTGGGAACCCAATCATTTCTTTATTTTTTTTTTTTTTATTTTTAACAGAGTGGTAGATGATCTCATTTGCAGTACAAGTTTCAAACATGCTTAAAACAACAACTTCACTGAGGGAAAGACTTGCCTCTTAGGAAGACTTCTGCACAAGAACAGGATTCAAAAACTTTACTCCATCTTCACAGAGCTTCCATCTGTCTGTGCTGGTGGCACATGCTCTGAAAGGAGCCCCCAGCTTCACTCACGGGAGAAGGGGATGGGACAGACCTTAGATGGCAGAGAGGCCTTCTGGCTTTGGCTCCTCAGCACACAGAGCTGGGGTAGTCTGAAGGGGGAAGAACCTCTCTTAAGATGGGATATTTCTCAGGGACTAATGAGGATTTGGCCCTCCACACAGGCTTGGGTTAAGAGCTGGAGTAAACACAGCACTGGTCACATACTTCTTCCCAGACCTCAAAGAGCCCAGGACCCTCCATAAAAGGGAGCAGCAGAAGCTGCTCCAGGCACAACACAGAGTGAGTTCCCTCAGGGACCATCTGCCTTCACACTTCATACCATTCCTTAAAAAGGTATAAATTGCTCCACTCGAGCGGCTATTCAGAATTCAAACAAAATCCCAGCCCTAGTTCAAGCCTGTTACTCCAAGAAAATACCAGCAAAACCAGTGAGGGAGTAAGCATCAACAAAATAGTATTTCAGTTACAAAAAGCCATGCAGTGAGACTGAACAGATTAGGACAAAGCATTTAAAGTTAATAATTAATATCAGATATCTTATATCTGATAAACTGAAGTCATAATTTGATAAAGCGTTAAAGGAAAAACCCTGCCCTTCAAAGTATAAAAGTAGTCAATGATGTCATTATGATTTAAAAGCAGTTAGACGAGGACAAAACTTATCTCAGTTGGTGAAAGGTGATGCATTTTTTGTCATATATTCTCCAACCTTTAAAATGTCAACTTGCTCCACAAACTATTTGATGGCATTTGTGCTGTATTGTAGTCATTTCCAATGATTACTGTGAAGTGATCCTGAGAGAAGAGGAACACACCAATTCTAGGAGCTTTCATTTCAGAGTTTATGGTAGCGTGATGCTGCTTCATCTCACAGTGATTGGACACAGCAAAAGGAGGAGGATCGAGAGAACAGGAAATATGCACGGGAAGAGCTCATATTCCCCAGCACACAGAGGGTGATACGAATAATATAAACTGAGCTGGGACCCATCGCCCTCTCTCCCCACAGTGATTTCCAGGAGAAGGCTACAAAGGTTTTTCCTGGGAAACATTGAAAATTTTCAGAATTGTATTTGGCTTTTAAGGTGGCCACTATTTTTCTGTTTTCCACTTCCCATTAAAGGAGTAGACAGGAGTAGGCAGTAAACTGCTGAGTCACTTTCTACCCTAATTCCTCCCAGAACTGCCAAGAATTGTCTCCTCCTCTTTTGCTGGCGTGTGGGACAAAATCTCTAGAGAGAAAGAAAACTGGATACTCCCTGGGATGTTTTCTTTACTTCTGTTAGATACTCTCGCTGCTCCACCCACTGGCAGGAGCCCACATCTCACTCACTCTCCATTAATGAAGAGTCATGGATTTGATTTAGCTGTGCTTGTATGAGCCAGGTCTCAAAAAGCTGCAGGTAAAGAGCTGGCAAAATAATCACTCCACACACCCCAAGCAGGAATACAGCATCTTCAGCTGGCTTTTGCTGTCAGTGTTGCTTCATAGCCTGGAGCTTTCCC